ATAATTTCCCAAAGCAATGCTTGAATCGTCTAGAATAGATCAGTGGTGTCAAACTCATGGGTTTTTCGACAGCCGCATTGCATTTTTGAAAATTGTAAAAAGAGCCGCAAACAGTTTTTGATAATGTATACTTAAAAGATATTTTTAAGATAGTTTTAGTTTGTGACATATATTGTGATGCAACTAAACAGTTGGATTAAGTTTTATTATTTTCTTCAATTTCAAATTCAATTACATATTAATATTTGCATTCCACTATTATTGCAACATTTGCAAGTTACAGTATTTATTATAAAAAATTGTAAAATTCTATGTACAACCATCAAAATCATTTTTGAACAAGCTTTGAATAAGGAAAGAATAATCATACACTAAAAATAACTTAATCTAAATATATGAACCTAAAATTAACAAAATACTACAGTATAAACTCAATGTTTTAATAATTACATTTGTCCTGACGTTTGGCATCTTTTTTGTGTCACCAGCATACTAAGGCCAGGCTGTAATGATTTTATAGTACCAACTCTAACTAACGAGGCCACATGATCATGGGTTTATCTGGATCTTTACGAATGTTTAATTAATTCCAGTAATGCAAAAAAGTTACTTTTATCATTTCATGTATAGATCAGTAAAAAAACAAATGACAGATTTTTTCGACAAGACATTGCGTGGCATAGGATTGCTTGAATTATTATTGATATTGATTTTTAGTAACTAAGTCGTTGTATAATTATATTAATATACAAACACATGGAAATTTTCTGTTCGAAGTTGGTCTTCGAATTTGTCATATTGACTGCTGAGCTTATTGTGTTTTTGATTGTATTGATGGAAATATGACAAATTAAACAATGTGCTTCAGAATTTTGTGAAGAGCAGAAATGTTTACAACTCCCATTTTCTTCGAAAATGCCACCTTCTTCATGTACTTTGCGTTTAATTTAATTACTCAAGTGTTTTATTCAAGTATTCTTTTGCTAGCTTGATGTGTATTCTTAATTGGGTCAAAATGTGGACAAAAAAAATTAATATTCCAAAACTACTTTCAGTAAATTGTTTTCTGTGTGAATAATCAATTTCACTTTAGAAGGTTTGAAAAATCTATTACATTTAGATAAAAAAAAAACTTCCAAAATACTATTACAATTATTGTTAAGCGTTAGAGGGCCGCAAGTTTTCTGGGGCCGCGAGTTTGAGATCCCTGGTCTAGATTGAAGTTGTTCAAAAAATATATGATAGTATTTTATCATGAATGATGATTATACCCCTTCCGGAATTTCTTCTATAGTACTACCAAAAGTTGATGAACCAAATATAACACAGGTGCAGTGAGGTACCCGTAATCCTCATTTCCAAAGCTGTTTTAAGTATGTCTGGCGTGTGTTGTGCCTTTTTACAAATAAGACCGCTTATGCAATCTTACGCTTTGGAATTTTTAGTTATTTTCCTCAAGCCCTGCAGGATGTGGGGGCCATACACAACTCTACCGGAGGATCAAATGTCTTTGCATGCCTCCATAGGTTTTTCTATTGCAAATTTCTATTTTCTATTTTCAATTGCATTATATTTCTTGGAATCACACTGTCACTGATATGTCGCCAGACTTCTGATATCTCCCCGTCTGCTATAGTTGTCCTGTGAATAAATAATAGGAAATTGAGATTAGACGAATAGTTGAAAGTTTTGCTTTATGTCGGCTTAATTTCTTGATTGATATACTTACTATTTCTGCTATTGCTGCTTAGACAGGTTTGTCCACAACTTTCACATCTGAAGAAAGAGAGGAGATTTATTAATTTTCGTTAAGAATAAATAAAGCAGTCTATATGATTCAGAATGAAAAAGCTAATAAATCCAATATCTCATGTTTTATTTAAAAAATATTTTACTGAATTTGGTATATAAACCAACTAATAAAAGGGTTTAGTCAGAAAATTACAAGCATTCGTGGCTCCAAATACTTGAGAAATCAGACTATACAATATAGACCGGTATGAGTGAAATGTTAGGTGAACTTGTTAACACTTTGATTCAATACGCAAATAAAAGTGAATGCGTAATAGTATGTTACAATGAGCAGCAATCAACAATGAGTATATATCCTCACTGATTAAAAAAATCTAACTGGAGGTGCATGAACTATTTGAAACCATAAGGGGTAAGTAAATATGTAATTTCGGCAAATGGGCAACTACGTACCGTACTGAATTAATAACTACGTAGTATTTGACAAAGGCTGGCTTTCCCACATGTACTTAACAGTGCGATGCCCGGGTGTGATATACAACAATAGTATTCACCTTACCTTTTACCGATTTCTTTTTACCCCAACTTTCAAAAATATCATTAAAATCGATAACAACTGTCAAAGCAGGCACGAACACCATTCGTGTTACGCCTTGAAAGCAGCACACATCCGCTCGTTTTCGTCTCGTCAAGTATGTGCATTGGAGCGTGCTATCGAATACGATCTTCGGACAAAAATGCCGGAGTTGCGCATCATGTTGTTTAATGTCATTGATGTGAACAAGTAATATTGGTAATATATTTTTTACAAAGAATGAGATTTTGAGTCATAACTGACTTACAAGCAGAGCCATTATAGTTGGATCAAAATCAATTTCTCACTTTTTGACAACATTTATTTTAAAGTGTATCAGCCGAGAGTGACTGCTGACTGCTCGATAAACTTTGTATTCGTTTGAAATGCCCGTCAATACTCTACCCATAGCTGTTAAAAAGTGATAGGCGTTCACCAATGCTTCAAACTATTTTATGTTCTTATCGATATGGCGCCGCGAAGTTTACTCCGATCCTACCTGATGTTGCTTAGCCATGCAGTTCTTTTATATCACTGATGTCATACGTGATTGATTTGTATTTGACCATTTGTTATGCTTCAGTGATCAAATAACTAACAACACTATGTTTATCACGGTTGCTATGTTCAAGTTATGCAACTCGTTAGCGTTTAACCGCCGTCGTGAGTGACCGTTCGTGGATCCCGAAGGCCTGACCTCGCCATGTCGAGCAAAGCCAAGATGGATAGAGGATAGGATTTACATATTTATCCCGGGGAGAGGAAAGCCGATAAGGCGGTTTATCCATATGGCGAATCACGGCCTCTCGTCCGGTTACCATTCCAAGTCGGGTATGGGTTTAGTTATATTGTTTGTTTTCGGAAGCATGGACTTGGTGGTGGAGGAAGCAGTAACCGACCAGCGGTTACGTGAACCACCCAACGACGGCGAGGAGTCCAGCAATCCTCTCGCACATAACCATCCCTGCATGGGATTCGAACCTGCGAACCCACGCAGAGTAATTAGAGGTGCGGTGGCGAGCGTATTCCTAACGCTTAGCCCGTTGAGCCACACCGCCGCGCCATGGAGAAGCATAGCAAGCCAAATACCTCACGTGTACACAGTGGCATGCCTGAAGGGGGCGAAAGGGGCAGTCGCTCCGGGCAGCACGTTATAGGGGGCAGCAGAACCGAGCTGTCGTTTTCGTTATCACACATGTTTTTCTCGACGTGTTTATATTCAATTAAAAGCTGACATTATATGTTTAGTCCTGTGTTACTAACTGTGGTGATAGCGAGTCAAAAACGGATGTTTCCCCGACAATTGACCCCAGAAAAACTCTTCCTATATTCCACAATTGCAACATTTTTGGTGCTCATATTAAGTGTGGTTTCGCGAGTTAGTGCATTAAACTGGTTTATATGTTTTAAACAATCATTTTAATTCAAAATGTGCAATCCTGATATTTAAAAGTACCGGTAGAAAAGTTTAGCCTACTTTGCCACAGCTATTTCCATCCCAATTTTTGATTAGCAGCAATTGAACTACGAGAAGGCGGAATAATCATTGAATTATTTGATCCGTACTGACATTTCCGAATCATAACTAAAAACTGACAAATAGCATGCAAAACGGTGAAAACGAGGTAATGTTTACAACCATGCCAGAAAAGCTGTTTGTGTGGCTGCTAAAACGCCAACTGTTGCATCGCTTTTTAAGATGGAAACAGAGATTTTTCAAACATGTTGAAGATTTTATTGCTCCGTCGGTGGAGCTCGGCGAGGATGTTTTACATATTTTGTGCGTTGCATATTGTTTATTACTCACTATACAGTACTCAATTCGCTACTAATTGCGAATGATCTTTCTCAAAGTAAACATATAAAAACACATTTAATGTCTTCGATGTTAAATTAACGCCTGCCAAATTTATCTTTGATCATCATCGAAAAGAAATTCCCGGCGAACAAGGGGAAAGAGGCTGTCTTTCAGACATTTGTTGACAGCAAAGTAGATTTGACATATGAATAAGTGACTTGTTTTTTGCTAATAAATGAGTTCGATCTTGTAAATGTAAGTTTATAGGTTAGGTTAATGATATATTTAATAAAACAAACGTTTCCATCTTACTTGGCCTACAATTTATTTATTCTCGTGCATAATAACATCTATAATTTGCTCATTGCACGAATTATTTTTAAGGTTAGGTATAAGGGGCAGCATTATCAGGAACTCGCCCCGGGCTGCAGAACAGTTCGGCACGCCCCTACGTGTGCATCAACAAATTCAGCAAATTAAGATATAATATATTACGTACTGAAGATACTTACGGTGCCTCAGCAAGATTCGTTTCAAATTGTCTCGTCTCCTTTGTCACGAATCTTTGCAACTACGTCGCAATAGCTATATATACTTAGACTAAAACGATATTTTAAAAGAGAAGTTCGGATCCAGGGTTGTCGGCATCTGGGGCCACAATATTATTTTGGATCAACTGAAGAAAAGGTTGAGAACAACAGTCCTAACACGATGCGCCACACCGCCGAGGATAAAATGAAAGCAGTGGTTTATGCAGCGTCTGGTCGGTAGGCCCCTTCCATCGTTCAACTTCATGTACCTGGAAATAGTACTGTATCTATGTACAAAATGCTGTATAGCCCAATGATGCTAAAAATTCTTCTTAGTTCCTATTTGCCCTTCACTGAGGGAACCAAATGCCGAACGCCCAAAATTTAACTTTCATCGTACGTCACAATGCTGATAAAATGCTTTATCAGCGTTAAGTGATTTTGCTTCTCTATACTTTGCGGAAGCTTAGCACAGGCTTTGTTAGTCTTTTTAGCGCCACGGCCTTGACAGCACCATTCTACAGCACCAGGCCAGAGTTATGCTCGCGTACCCAAGTGCTTAGCGTTTTGTTTCTGGAATCTTCCTTAGAAACGCCAAATAATATCGAACTAGGCTAACGACAAAGGGACGTATCGTCTCGGGTGAACTGGTAGTTCAGAAACCAGGAAGGCCAGAAGGCTATCTCTGTCTGTCTGTAGTCTATCTATCGTGACGTTATTCCTGTATTCAGTTATTGGTCAGTTGGTTGAACCACCAGTTCACAATCGCGATCTGACAATTACCGGTACTTAAATAATGGACACCAACGGAAGCATTAATGAAAAGGATATTTTTGAGGAGTTTGGTCAACCTTTGGAGGTTGGAGATTCATGGTGAGTTGATGAAATCTGCTATGTTGGTTTTCCATATCAAGTAAATAGAATTGCAATTATACTGAGCAAAGAAATATTTTCCGTCCAAGCTCTTCAGAAAATTCGAACCTTGTCTGCTTGTAGCCAACATTTCCAGCTATGTAAAAAACAAGTTTCAAAAATCAGTATTGTATTTCTGGAGTTTCACTATATTTTGATACTTCTGTTAAAATTTCATGCCCAGGAATTGACTACTCTTCATTTGTTGTTTTCCAATATCAGGTATCTAATATCAGTGAGCTGGGTTAACAATTGGAAAAACCATGCTGGAATCGATGACTCAAGTGGTGAAAATCCAGGACAAATAGACAACTCCAGATTGTTTGAAGGTATTTTTGTTAGTTGTTACTATTTCTTGAATGATGGCAAGTTTTCAAGAATACTGGAATCGACTCGATCGAATGTATGTTGTTTCGTTTGCATTACTATTTTATTTTTATAAACCATGTAAATTATTACTTATCGATCTTAAGATCGGTAAGTATGTTGATAGGTATTTGTCTGTCTGTTTGTCTGTTATATGAACGTGATATCTCAAGAAGGCGAGATTGAATCTGCTCCACATTTTGCGTGTGCATTAATCATATCTCGGACCAGAAGCCTACTGATTTTGGATGAATTATGTCATATAATTAGCGAGCTATTAGTGATGGGACACACGGTGTCACTATAGAGTCATGAATCGAAACCGCAGTTTCGATCGATCAGTCTTCGGTCTCCGACTGATAATCTCGTTTCATTTATTACTGATAATGATGTTTGGATTGAATTTTTCATATTAAATCAATAGGTATTACCAGACATGAGATTCTGTTTTGATATGGTTGAGCTTATCGTATCAGTTTTACCCTTCTTGGCCTTTCTCCATGGTCCACTCATTTGCAATTCAAGAGAAATCTGTTGAATGTTATAGCAATTGTGTTGAAACTCTCGCCACGTTACTACTGGTTCTATTTTTTGTAAATAAATATTGTTTTTGCAATCTTGTGTTTATCTGGCTTCAGAAAATTCTGATACCTTGCGGGAACATTTACTGGAAGAAAGTGAATATATGTTGATTCCTGCTGAATGCTGGAAAAAGCTCGTTCATATTTATGGAATACCAGAAGGACAAAAGCCTATTTGTAGGAAGGTAATTTTGTTCTTATCAAAGAAATGAATTTGTAGTTGGTCTTGGTGAATATATGATTACAGTTTTTATACCCATAAATTTTACATTTCATTATGTTTGGAACAATGCCACATAGATTACACATGCATTTCCATCTCATCCTTATCAATACCCTTGTAGTTTGAGTCTGTTTCATGTTATTATATTTATTATAGGCCTATGAATAAATGGGTAGATAAACTCTCTTCTACCATCTTGCTTATTTGTTTTGACAGGTAATTGAGACCGGAACATTTTCCAAACAAACAACTGTTGAAATATATCCGCCTTGCATCAGTATGAAACAACATGATGGTGACGGCCAAATTGTCAAGGAAAACTTCAGTAGAGTAGCACTAATAGGTAGTAAAATACTGAATGTTTTTGATTGCGATGTTTCAATGTTGATGTTATTAATAATCTTTCGAATTAAATCAGTTTTGATACAATTTTCGTTCAAAAATACATGATACTCTGATAGGGAGTGTGTGTTATTGCCACTTTTGCTGAAATGTGAATCCCATAAAAGTGTTTATGATGGATTCAAGTTTGACTCTTATCTCCTGAAGGCTAATTGGAAGGGATTTAATTTTGATTTAATGAGTTAATATTGCTCTGTAGGTGATATTCACAAAAGAATGAAAGAAATATTTGGAATACCTGTGGAACAAATCACCCGATTGTATATTGAAGACAGTTCTGAAAACTCACTTGATGATAAATTTTCAATGGAGAAGGCTGGAGTTGGTCCCACATCGGTAATATGGTGTTTTTATTCAATAAATAGCTACATAGAGAACTTAAACAGCTGCAATCTAAATATAAGCAACTTTCACCATTTAGGCACAGCATTTTTTTCATAAGACTGGATAGTAAGCAAACGCTGAATACCAGACAATTAAAGATATAATTCAGAAATATCTAAGCCTAAATAGGATAAAATTTTGGAAATTTATTCAACAAATTGTGAAACACCATTAATTGTTTGTTGTATGTTTGACTTAGTCTATGACTCTTGCATGTTGGTTTTATGGCTTGGTTTATTGTATGCATGAAACAAACCTTGAGTGTGAAAAAAAATGCATCAGTTATTGAATTCTACTTATTTTGATTCAATTTAGGTGGTTGTGATAGAAAAACAAAATGATAATAAAACTTGGCCTCGATCAACGATTGCACCTCCTTCATATACAGAAGCTACAACGTCAACGTCATCAACTCTGTCAAAATATAATACTAAGAATTCTAATTCTTCATCTTTTTCTTCCAGTAACGGGTATGTATTCACTCATTTACTTTTGAATTTCCCTTCTTTGGGTTTTACATCTTTAGATTAGCGTAGATATTTCATGAATGTAATGAATGTTGTAACAAGACATTGTAAATTTGTATAAATTAGCTTTTTAATGCAGAATAGTTGAGAATGTTTTACCTGTTTTTTTTTTTAATACCGCCCTAATTTTAATTAGATTTTCTTGATTGGCAAGTCTCTTGGCAAACCATCAGTCCAGTTTAGAATGAATATATCTTGAATTATTCCTAAAATCATGAATAGACATTATCAAATATGAACAATTTCAAATGTGTTTTTTGTCATTTGTCAATGTCATTTTATTTGACTCGGAAAAAATCTCAAATTTGAGATTCAAAACAAATGTATATACAAGACTGGATGAGACTGATAAAATTTTATCAATTATGAGACTTCTTATTTTCAAATCGAGAATAATTTTCTTTTGAACTTCTAGAAGCCACAATACAAGATACAGTTCAAACAATAGTTATCGTTCATATCGAGATACACCAGGGATATGTGGTCTCAGCAACTTGGGCAACACTTGTTTCATGAATAGCGCAATCCAGTGTTTGAGTAACGTCTCTCCTCTTACGATGTATTTTTATGGTAAAATTATTTTTAATAAGAAGGATATTTGATGTAGTTTGTGAAATATGGTAATAATATGACCATGTTATTAAAGTTGAACCTGTAAATAAGCTTTTTGAGATGTCTATTCATTGTAATGTTCCTTATTCCACATTGCATTATCTATTGTACAAGATATTCAGTGGTTGTTCATCCGTACAAATGTTAATACACATACGCCGTTAAACTTCTTCTAAAACTTGTTTATTTTTCAGAAAATAAATATATCAAGGAGCTGAACAGAACAAATCCTATTGGCATGCGGGGAAAATTAGCTGAAACTTATGCTACCTTGATCCATGATATTTGGTCAGGAAATCATTCTTCTGTATCACCACGTGAATTCAAGGTGAGGACTGGAGTCTAGAAGGATTTTTACTTTTATTTCAGGGAGAGGAATGAGGTTTTTGGTAGAAATATACAAGTTTTCTGAATTTTAAATGTCACAATTTTATTCAGTGAGCTGTAATTTTTTTGTCATAGTTGTGCTGTGATGGGTAATGAGTCATTCTAGATAGGAATTATGTCTATTGTGGCCCAATGCATCAAAATAGGAGTGCAACAAAATGCTGCAATAATGTTGTTTCACAAGAATAGGTGCATTTTATTCTGCCAGAATGGGACAGTTATTCATGGATTCCATACATTTTGAACGACTGCCCTGGTGTCCATGGTTGGCGATCAGACTGATTTTTCAGAGGAAATCCTGTGTTATAGCCATGTACCATTTATTGCTATTACACTAGTAAAAATTGTTTTTCTAAATTTTACGTTAAGTGGTGAAATGCATTTCTGTTCTCTATTGCTCACGAGATGTCACATGCTAGATTTATTTAGATTTTCTGTTGGATCAGTCTGGTCGATTGGTGTCTTTAATCTGTGCTGTTTTATTCAGATTTCCTAGTAGTATAGATGCCCAAAGGACTAAGATTCGGGTTATGTGTGTTCAGTACGGATCGTTCAGCTCATTGCTGTTATAAGGAGTGTTTATGTTCCAGTTATTAGGGCAAAAGCTTTTCTATTAATTATCAAACTGATTGGTTTATAACTGCCAGTATTTGAGGAAGGAACTGTATTATAATCTAATATCCAACTTTATTGCCTTTTTATGTTATTTTCAAATTGTTACTGCTCACTGGATCCTTTGAGGTTAGTTTATTCTTGTCTACTCAATCGCATGATTCTCATATTTGGGTGTCTTGTCGTAAAAGGATAATTCTGGTTTCATTGTTCAGTAAATTTATTTTACAGAACTACATGACATTGATATTGATCTCGATTGCTTGCTGACCATACTTTTATTTTTTCTATTTAGTATAAAGTATCCAGTTTTGCTCCACAATTTTCTGGATATCAGCAACATGACAGTCAAGAACTTATGGCATTTTTGATTGATGGTCTTCATGAAGATTTAAACCGAATTGACAACAAACCGTGAGTATTTCATAAAAATTTTCACTGTATTTAGTTTCGATTCACAATTTTTTGAATGAATACTTCCGTGTTATTATTGAGGTGAAAACATAGTATAGAATGATTCTTCGATCTCTTGGCAGCTTCAGTATTTGGCTGAATTTTTTGTTAGGAATTTGTTCAAGGCGACATTTGTCAGAATTGCATGAATGGTGTGATTTTGTTATTAAAGTATACAGGCATTAGTATATAAAGCTTTGTATATTCTCAACTTTTCTCAATTAAATTCATATTCTTTCATATTTCTCTTATTTTTTTGCAGTTCAAATTGTGAATACTTTCCAGAATGTATATTAATAGTATTTTTGTAGTTGAATTCATAGCATGTGCCTCAATACCCAGATGTACAGATAGACAGAATATTTTAATATTTTCAAATCACTAACTCAACTAAAGTAATGGATAAATATCTCAATAGTTTGGCTCAATAGCATACTGTGAATATTTTGATATAGAAATCAGAGCTTTCGAAACTTAGTCATAGTCATATTGACTAATGTTCAGATATTTTTATCTATTTAACTTTTATTAATGTAGGTATGTGGAATTAAAAGATTCAGCAGGACGTCCTGATTATGATGTTGCCATAGAAGCCTGGAAAAATCATTTAAGAAGAAACGATTCAATCATTGTTGACATGTTTCATGGATTGTTCAAAAGTACAATTGTTTGTCCCGACTGTGACAGAGTCTCTGTAACCTTTGATCCATTTGGATATTTACCACTTCCTCTGCCAAAGGCAAAAGATAGGATGATTCCTTGTACTTTCTTTCCTAGAGATGCTAAAAAACCTGTGACAAAGGTAATTTTTTATTGTTCAAATGAATTTGTGATGTAAGATTAACATGCAATCAGCAATCATCATTATGTCAGCGATGTACGCAAAATTGGAAACGTACACATTAGGCCCATTATATTTTTTCGTTTATACGGTTTTGATATTGGCATTATTGAATGATACAAATATGTCGATACCTTGGTTAAAAATTCTCAAACTTTTCATAACTAGCAATGCATTTACGGATCATTGCGCATTGGAAAAATATTTGACTTTGTAACAGTATTTATAGCATTTAATCAGTCCCAGTGTGGGGATTTCAATTTCTTTCGATCTGTTTTAATATTCACTGCAATAAATTTTAGTACAATGTGACAGTATCAAAAGACGGATGCATAAGAGATTTATGTAAAGCATTGGCAAAACAGACTGGAACTGAAGAAAATGAACTCATCGTAACTGATGTTTACAACTGTAGGTAAGAAATTGTTCCCATTTTACCTTGCTTCAGTTTCAGTTATGTGATGAATATTTTAGTTGTGCTATAAGATTAATATGTGAGTGATATGTTGGGTGATTGGTCTTGGAAGAAATTCCATTAAAAAATGCCAAAATTAACGACATACTGGTACATTCTCAATCCCAACTAACTTTATGTCTGTAAACCTGATATCCAAGGAGAATATGATGTCATAATCGTCATTGGATAGTTTAAGGAAATTGTCTCTGCAATGAATTCTGATTGAAGACAAAACTTCATTCATTGCACTGTAAACCATTTTAATTGATTGCTAAAAGTTGATACAACTTCAGTGACTAATTGCGATTTTCCAATGCTTTGTTCATTTCTTATTTTAACTCCCACAGATTCTACAAAATCTATAGAGGAAGTGAAAGTATCGGCAATTACACAGATCGAGATAATTTGTTCGTTTTCCAAATTGGATTTGATGAAGAAGTTGAAAATGATGCAAATGAACAAGAAGAAGAAGAAAAGTTAGAATATGCTCGTGTTGTCATGAGACAGTGTAGTAGGTGAGACTGAGATTTTATAAAATCCATTTATTTTAGGGATCTCTCGATCACTGAGATTCTAAAATATATTTGTTTCTATTCTGGACAGCAAAGAATATAAATTTCTGCAATTTTCATATCCCATTTGTATTTATATTGGAATTTTATGGCTATGCTGTGACTGTGATGCACCATTGTCCCTATGTTTGTCAGGGATTTTGAGGTAAAGGCTAGGCTGAACTGGAAAAGATTGCAGTACTTGAAAACTGCCTTTTTATTAATACCTGTACAGACCATCCATTGAAACTATCTCAGGCAATTATAGTTCAATATGTATGGATTTCTTTTATTTGCTCATTCCAGTTTTTAATCAATTCATTGTAATTTTATACAATACATTTTTGAATTGTTGTTTTCTACTCAGAAAACGGTTAACATTTCTCATTGTTGCATGATAACAATTTTTCAGTGCCCACGGGATGAGACTCTTTGCACACCCGTTTTTGATTCCTGTAAAATCAGGAGTAACAACATATCGAAAATTGTATAACTCAATACTTGCTGCAGTATCGTAAGTATCATTTCACAAAGCCTTGATTACTGTATATATTTTATACTACAGATTCTTACCTAGTATTCTGGATACTCCCATAGTATAATTACCAGGTTAAGATTAGGCCATAATTTCATTCTGATTTTTCTTATTTTAGTTCTATTACGAGTTTGGGGAGCCAAGCCCTGCCAATAGTAATCAGTCCCTTTACACAACTTGATGTAAAGTACGCGAACAAAATTAGTTACCTCCATATTGGTACATACACTTCTGGAGCGCCGTATTTTGTAAGATCCTATTCCAAACAATATTTCGTCATATTTTTCACTCTTGCGAAACATATTGATAGTTGTGCGTTAATTAATGACAGAGATTTATAGCAGCTTCATCATGAAATGAGTTATGAAGTGAAGTCCAAACTGATTTCAAGTCTTGAGTTTCAGCTTTGTAGTGTTTGAGTTAGATGAAGTTCAACTTATTTTTTTGCAGTCGCTATGTCAAACAAGAGTACAAAGAAAACATAAAAATGTTGTCAGAATTGAAAAGATGTGAATTGAATGAATCCATTGGTTCTGATGTTGATGGAAATGAAGTCGGTGATACAAATAAAGAGGTTTGCTTATCATCATATCGATATAAGTGCTTATTTCAATACTTTCAATCATTTTGTTTTTTTGTTTTTTTTTGTTTTAGCAGGATGAAATGGAAGATGAAACGCAATGGTTCAAACTTGTTACAATCAATTCATTTGGAACAACCGTTTATAAGGAGCTCAAAGATAATGATGAACCAATCAAGTTCACAGGTCTTGCCATGTCTTCCTGTTATCAATCAATTTATGCAAATTAAGTGCATTACTACAATTTCAATGATTTTGCAAATAAGTTATTTTGAATGGGTCAATAACAACAGAAGCATTTTGGTATATCACTACTCAGCTAATTTACTTAGAACCAATTGAGCTCATTATAAAGGTGTTGTAATGTACAGGTGATGTTTACTTTTCTGCTGAATGGGACAGTGCAACATGTGAAGAGTATGCCGAAGAAAATTGGTCGGATACTTTCAAAAACGATGAATCCATGAATAAAACTGGGAACAAAGACAAAGGAATAAACTTACAGAAATGCATGGAATTTTTTACAACTCCTGAAAAACTGGGAAAGGAGGATTTGTGGTATGATAAAGGCTATGATCCCTTTATACCTTTTTGATTCAATTTTTTTTTTTTGGAATTTGCTTGAAGCAAGATTTTGTGCACCCACTGTGAAGCACATTCAGCTCTTAGCAAAATTACAGCTACTTAAGCTATGAATTGATGTTGATGCCGCTTCGTTTCGCACCAGTATGCCAGTTGACATGGCACTTTAGGCAGATTCAGTTGGTAATACCAATGAAACAGCCAGCCAAATGGTAGTGAGATTTTGATAAAAAAAACATCCTATATGCATCCAAGGTGATCTTGAGTTTAGATACTGGTTGTTACATCGTTTCCTTTTCCAAATGTTTACACATGGCTCTAATATTTTAACTGTAAGGTTTACATAAATACAGGTATTGTCCTAAATGTAAAGACCACAAGCAAGCAACAAAGAAGTTTGATTTATGGACATTACCACCCGTTCTCATTATTCACTTGAAAAGGTTTTCATACACACGTTGGTCGAGAGATAAAATAGGAACATATGTTGATTTTCCAACAAGGTTAGACTTATATTGTTCATAATGCACAGTATTTGTTAACCCTTCACAGTGATCTTAATTCAGTTCTGCTATGATCGATTGAAAATAATGGCCTTAGGTGTCTGAATGATGATTTTTATTTTATTCCTTTGATGTAGAGATCTAGATTTGTCTGATTTCATTATCAACCCTGCTAAGAGCAAGTGGCATGAACAAAAGAAGAGATATAATCTGATTGGTGTATCAAATCATTATGGGGGTATGGGAGGCGGACATTATACTGCATATTGTCGTAATTATAAAGATGGAAAATGGTATTATTTTGATGACAGTAGTGTTACTGAAAGCTCCGAAGACAAAGTCAAGGTATGTCATTCAATACTATTACATGGCGTTAATAGGGCCCGACCGATAGTGCCTTTTTGAACCGATACCGATAGTTTTCTGAAAATAGGCCGATACCGATGTTTCCTCACCTACAAATTAACAAGCAACAATCTGAGAATATTGTGTTTTTCTTGCAAAAGAAATGAAATTTTGAACTCATGCAATTATGTGCGTGGCAAGAAAGAACATTTATTGTAAGGGCAGGAAACTTATGAATCTCAAAAGCTCCAGTTCAACAGTCTCAGATGTAGTTGAGCAGAGTTTTTCTGCATTGGCTTTTGGCTCCTATGCTTTTCTGCATTGGCTCCAATCATACTTGCTCTTGTGTTTTGCTTTGAGATAGCTCTACAAGTTATACTTATACTCATCTTTTTTTTTAAATTGGCGGTACCCTTCGACTTAATAATGATAAGCATATTTTACAAATTACGCCATCATTATGGCACACAAAGTATTACCATACTTTGCTCTCACCGCTAGAACCAGCCGTCTACAACATATCAATACAAGAAGTTAAATCGCGCCTTGAACGAACTTGTATTATTATTTGACACAAATAGGATGTGCACACGTTTCTCTCGCTTCAATTTGCAAGCCACCACGTCCGTTTTGGATAAGAGAGACGCAGTCAAAAGCCGCTTTTTGATAAGAAAGAAATAGAATTAACGAAGAAAAAGAGTATTAGGCAGAACCACTATCAATGAAACAAGCGATAAAACTGCTTTCCCTGCGTAATTTTGACACCTTGGCAGTCACATGATTGGCCGATATATATCGGTAAAATTAGCCGATACGGATAGTTCGAAATTTATGAAAAAACATGGCTGATATATCGGTCGGGCCCTCATATTAACATCTTTTGTCCTGGAATATTTTTATATTAGTCAGCGATGATCTCTATGGCGAGACAAATATAGAGATACCTGTATAGCAGAGGTCGCCAACACGCGGGCGGCATGAGGCCCGCTAGGCATTTTTTTGCGGCCGGCGTCATGATTGGGATTTTCCCACAAAAAAACTAAAATATTACGATGTCAACTATAATTTTATTGTGTCATTTATCATCAAGGGCACGATCTGACAAACTGTAAAAAATGAGGCAAAAATTTCCCCCTGTTATTCCACTTTACCACGTTCATGTTTTATTCTATGGTTATAATTCAATTATGATTACACTAATTTCATTTCGCATGTTCATCGTGACGAAATAAACGAGTTTCGGTCAGTCCATTTTGCCCGAAGAAAGGTTTGCAAAGCTAATTGCACATCCACGTTACATAACTGCAATGTTTGGCAGTTCTTATATTTGCAAGTAATTTTTCAACTATGAAAGTTAGCAAGTCAGCACTCCGCACACGACTAATGGACGAGCATTTGCATGCTGTCCTGAGACTAGCAAAACACCGCAAAATAAGGCCATTAATCGGAACCAAATATCCAGCACAAGTAAATGCATATGTTTTATGTATCGTTTGCTGTACGATTCAAGTGTAATTTTAACACGATACATTCAGATATCCATTTTTGTACCTTATTTCTTGGTTTACGGCCCGCATGGTCAATAAATTTCAAAAAGTGGCCTGCGACATGGTTTGAGTTCTATAGAGATACAAATTTGGTCAAATTCATTTTGTTTCTTATGAGATGACACAGATGAATGAAACTGCATAGAAATTTATAAACGTGATTCATCATTTCTCAACAGACAAAAGCTGCTTATATGTTGATGTATCAGAGACAAGACATTGAGGAATGGGTTAACAAAGAAGGAGATGATGATTTCAATTTCTTGGAATCAATGGTGAGTCCAAGGAGCTGCCACGTTCGAGGATTCGATTTTGACGTGAGTGAGAAAAAGAGAGAGCAACTATTCAACGGAAATGATTCAAATTTATCTAACTGTGGTGAGGAAGAAATGGATACCAGTTGATTATGAACTGAATGTCATTTTTTGCACGCAAAGTTTTTGTAAAGCACATAAATAATTTTGACGACTTTATTTTTCAAAAGATTAGAAAATTTGGTATTGTATCGCTTTCCTTAAAATAACATGTAGAGAAATTACAAATGAAAAATTGCTTAAGCAATGTCATTCTTTGTATTTGATCCCCCGATGAAATATCTTGTTAATTCACGCCTCATTATGTATCTTTTTATTCAAGATATTTATTTATCTGCAATTTAAAAGTTATGGAAGCTAATGTTATCTTGGCCTACCGCAACTTTTTAGGGACTACCGGTAATCCACGGCCACTGCAACTTAACTAAAACTTTTGGGGTAACAAAATGACCACTGAAATCATTGCATCATCTTTGACATATTTTAAGAAGATGCTCTGGGTAGCATCCTTGTTAGCATGACCTCGTTAGTCACAGCTGAACAGGAATATCTTGTATGCGACGACCTGTTTGTGAACGAATCTACTTATCATATTTAGTTTGATCTGATTGACCGATTATTTTGGAAAGTTCTTTTATCGATATGTATTTCTATATTTCGTCATTATCTCGTGAGTTCAATTTGGTTCCAATTACTTATATCAAAAGATACACTTTTTTTTATTTTGAGGTTGAAATAGGTTACTCTGCTCATCTACAATATCATAGAGCTCATTTATTCTTCATTGATTATTTTTACAAATATAGAATAGCAATATAATTGTTAATTCCATGGTATTGAAATCTCAATTGGTTTATAGCCACACAAATATAGAATAGCAATATAATTGGTAATTTCATGGTATTGAAATCTCAATTGGTTTATAGCCACTATGATTTATATTTCATCATTTTTATTGTACCCTTCTGGCCTGCATGTTTTTTTCTTGCTTATGTTCCTGTATTGTCTACTTCTGCTTCATTCATTGTCTTTACCTCCTGTATTATCTTGTGATTAAAATGTTCATGAGAATATGCAGAACTTAATTTATGGGCAATCTTGTTGATATTTGACCAGGTTCTTCCAATTTTTTCAGAAAGAGATAATTTCTGAACCTCGTGATTGAATGTCATAGATTCCACTTGTAACCAGAGGAATAGTTGTGTGACCAGATTATTCATTTTTCTTATACCTCTGGTAGAAAATGTAAATTGGATAAATATAAATTGATTTTGCTGATGCAATGTTTTGGTTTCGTGCCTATTTATAAGGATCACATATGTATATCATTTCAATTAATTATTCTTATATATGAGTATGCGAAATAAAGAGAAATTACAGTAGAGGTTGTCGTTTTCATATTTAGCGGAATTTTATCAGGAATTTTATCAGCGAACCGGTTAGCATTACTGGTTGCTGTCCATGTTCTGTTTGCAACAGAATGACAAAAAATTTGACAGTTCACCACTGGTTATAGGTTGTATACAAGCGTCTTTTCAGATCAAGGTAGTGAAACTGCCTGAATGAGATTGGCCGTGAAGTCAACCATAGTTGACAACACGCTTAGTGTCGAACGATTTTAAAAATTTGCAAAGGAGAAAAAACAAGATAAAGTCACACGCGATGTGGAAATCTCTTACAAAACCACTGGACCGCGACAGCGTGGAAAAGGGCAAAATGTGCTTTCCCGCCATTTTACCTCCGACGTAAAACGTGCTGCAGGTGTTTTAGAGGCAGGAATTATCCGATTCCCAGGTACAGTATAACTTCGATATTTTTTTAATTTGATAACATTATAATTAGGTATAGGCTACTAATTAGCAATAGGGCTGATATACCGCGTACGGGTATAGCGCAACCCTGTCTGCCTGTAACGTTGTCTGGTTGTTTGGAATATTATGAAGTTCAGAACATTTGACATTCATAGCTTAGATTTATGGTACCGGTATGGCTTTTTGGAAATCTGGAAATAATAGCGTACTGTTGCTGTATTGCAGCTCAAACCGAATAATCTTAGGATCGATCCAATGTATTTGAGGAGCAGACGATTTGGAAATGCAGCAAAAAGCAAAATCTGAAAGATTTGTGGATGAACAATCTGCTGATCTGACAATGATTTGATTCATTTTCAATTTTTTTATATGATGCACTTTAAAATGTATCTCCTAAGTTACATCTATTGGTTAACTAATTAATGTAACTCATAAGTTATGTCTGCTCAAAATAAAGACTGTAAGAAGTTGAACGATGTTGGTTATATTTCTGTATTTCATTGTACTGTACGGCACACTATCTAAATTCTAAGAATTTCTTTCCATCTGGTTCAGTAAAACGAACATTCCATGTGTCTCACAAATGAGGGGCGTCTGACACCACGTCAGATGCTTCATATCATGTCATGTTTGTCTCAATGCCGTACATCTGTACATGATCAAAATTGCTGTTTTTGCTAAAAACTTTTGAATGTCACGGTCAGGGTCCAGACTGGATTCCATGGCAGATGCACGCCCGAGGGCGCTAGCGCTCCACAAAAATGCACGCGAGCGAATTCAATTTTGCACGCCGAAAATTTGCAATTGCTCACCAATGTAAATCGGTTTAAATAGTTTTTAAATCAATAAACTAGTAATATAAAGATGCCAAAAAATTATAACTTTACAATTGTCGACTAATACTTGCTTGCAAGATTTGGCCTGATCGAAAAATGCGAAGCAAAAAACACCATATCGTGTTGAATGATAGGAATCCCGTGAGAAAAATCGCCTCCTCACCGACGCTGGCCAGGTATGGCTCTGATTCAGCGTATTTTTAATATATACAATCATTTTACACGGATGTACTGAACAGTACCGGTATCTAAAGTCACACAAACACTCTCAAAATTAGTGACAAAATATAGAAATGATGTTGGGGGTCAAAGGTCAAACGTCCATTTTTGCTATGATTCAACTTATTTTTTATCCAATACTGGTAATTTTACGCGGATGTATTGAGAGGTATCTTAGGTCGAAATCAGTTTAGCGGGCGCAGTTGTTTTGCACGCCGTGAGCTATAATTGCACGCCAGAAATTCTTATTTGCACGCGGGAATTTCTGATTGCACGCCCGATTTCTCGTTCGAAAAGGCCATGAAATCCAGACTGGGTCAGGGTTGTCCAAAACGAATCGAATATTCGAATATCATAGTATTCGAATACCTTTTCGGCTGATTTTCGAATAATTCCGAATAGTAGCCACTTTTCGCCGTAAACGCGGTGTTTCGTTTTACGGGAATCTTCAAACGACTTTTTACGCTGTCTCACGTATTGTAATGACGATGGAATAGAATCGGCACTTTGATTGTTTATATTCTGTGCGATCGTACGTCGCATAGTGTTGCGACACATTTGCACGTTTGCGTGGGTGGACATTGCCGACATTCGTCTACGAGGCTTTTAATTTACAAATTCATTTCCATCACGTCGAAAAATTGACAATTACCGCTTTTCTAGGCCCAATTTTTCGGCCTGATTTTTTTTGGGGGCGTCTAATTGAGAAAGTATGTTCATTTCATTTCTATGTGGCCTGCTTATTAGTCTTCTCAAGCATGATTTGTGTAACCTTATATTTGGGTCTTAGGGTCTGCCAATCATGATATTTAATCGCAGGCCGGTTACCGTTACTTTACAGAGAAACATGGCCACCGAGTGAAAGTGATTTGTGAGCCTTTCGTTTTGCCGATTCAGCAGAACACGACAGGGACAGGAAAACACAGCTGTGAAATAACCCGTGTGGACGTACAGTGTAGTATTTATCACATTCCAAAATTATTTTAACATTCCGGTTAATAGGTTGTCCAAAATGATTGCCGCTTTACAACTTAAATTTACCGCTCAATTGTTAATAATAGTTAATTCTGTGAGTATAATTCTACCAAACTAACATGATCTGGTTCTAAACATATAAAATTATTAGCGCATATCACAGGGACACAATTTTTCTACCAGTCTTATTGGAGACCTATATGGAAAAAACTCTTTTTTGAGTGCTAAAAATAGACATCGTCCTATTTGCCATGTGGACTTATTAGCCGGGAAATACGATATTTATAGCCGTTATTGTTACGATATCCAATAAATTGGCACAAGTTGGAAAAACAAGTTGATTTATTAGAAAATAATTTCTGGCAAATAATTTTGATAACGATAGTTAAAAGTATCGATCCTTTACCAGGATGTTTTTTTGCTGCGCAAAATAATCCAATCCATGACTGGTACCAGCATTTAAAATGTCATTATTAATTGTATTAATTTAATTCCGTTCAACGTAACTCATGGTTGTATGGACATAAATTGTGTGGCAAACTCGCGATTAATATTAATTTTTGATTCCTATTTTTGTATTTACAAAATACAACGGCGATCTGTGGACTTAGAATGTGTGGTAAACTACCCGATTATAAATAGTTTTTGCTTCCTATTTTCATATTTATAAAATAATAAAAGTATTATTACTCAAACATACAACGGCGATCTGCGGACTCAAAATGTGTGGTAAAGTTTCCGAATATAAAAAATTTTTGATTCGTATAAAAAATTGTCACAAGTCGGAAAAATAACTCATACTTTATCCCGCTTTTTGGCAAATAATTTGGATAATGGTTAATATTTAAAAGTATGGGCGTTTTACTAGGATGATTTTGTGTTGCGCGAATATTCAAATCCATCACCGATACCACTATTGCCGTATAATTTAATTCTGTTAACAAGACTCAAGGTATATAAAATATATAGCTACTGCAATAATCTGCAAATATGAAATTCCTGGTAATATAACTAGGTTGTAACTTGTAGATAGCAGTTATTCCATTGCTTATTGTATGGAAATTCCTACATACATTTAGATAAGCTTCAATTAGTGAATTTCATTTTCGAAGTATTCGAAATTTCATATTCGAAAAAAATAATTTCGAATGTATTCGAAATAGTGAACTATTCGGTATTGGCCATCCCTGGTCACGGTTCATTATACTGTATTTTTACCGATATTGAGGAACAACAATGTCCAGACGCCTCCCAAAGAAGGGGTGTCTGATCATTGGTAAAATGGGTTTCTCTGAAACGAGATAAAGTCGCTCGATCTGTATAGTGTGTCATCCTGTTGTATGTTAATGAATTTTCATCTCGGACTGTTGATAGAGAGATACTGAGATAGAGGAATATTTTATAGTCTACAAAGTGTCTGGCTTGTTGGGGCATCTGGCACAACGGCAGATGCGTAATATCGCGCCATGCTTGCCTCGATAATAGTCTAAAATCTAAATTAATCGCGGCTGTCACATGCTGACCTGACCAAAATTGTCGTTTTTTGCTAAAAGCTCTTGAATGCCACGGTAGAAATTTCTTTCCTTCTGTAAATCGGATTATTTTTTCCTGAGGAATTCAATGATGACGTTTTTAGATTGCGCTCCTTTGTAGTTTTTTGTGCAACTTCATTTTACTGTATTTTTACTGATATCGAGGGACAACAATGTCCAGAAGTCCCTGAATAGAGATCGGCAAAATGGGATTCTCTGGAACGAGACAATGTCTCTCGATCTGTATAGTGTGCAATACTCTTCTTGCATCCAGTATAGCAAATATATTTTATTCAATATCTAGCCCTATTATGAGAACAAAGCCCTTAGTTTTTACTTTCAAGCTATATCAGCATAGTGAAGCATCTGATATATCTGCATTCCGCTGTGCAATGTACCTTTGCTTGGGATGTGGCTGTGTTTTTCCACTGTTTGAAATTAAATTTATTTTACAGAAAAATTGAAGCACATGTAACGCATCCACATTACATCAATGTGAAAAGATTGCCTGAAGAAATAAACTCTATAAAATGTCTTCTGCCAATGATGATGCTGAGGATAATGGGTCATCCACGCAGGGTAAAATTGCTACAAATGTCTATATACAAATTTGGCAATCAAGAAGCTAAATTATGGTCTTATTTGAATCTGTACAACTGGAATAATGTCCCATGTTGTCAAGAATTTGTTTCAATAAATGAGGTTCAAGTCAGCTTGGTTATTCTCAGAAAGAATTAATTTGCTTATCTATTCTTATTAACAAAATTATTATTTCAAAAATTAAATAAATTACAGGGCTTGCATCAACCAGGTCTAGAAGAGAACGCAAAGATAAAACCGGTAGAAAAGCGATGTTAGAAAAACTGAAAGCTGCAAAAAATAAAGGAGAACGATTAAAATATGAAGTAAATGATTCTGTTGAATTTTGTGTGAAATATTATTCATTGATAATTAAATATATATTTATGGAATGGATCCAAAGTTAACCAATTTTGATAAACTGTTGTCGCTGACAAAATTCATTTTTATGTATCAAACGAACTAATTGCTTTCAAATTTTCGATAGTATGGACCATAACCTCAATGTTCACCTAAAATTTTTAATAATATAGCCACCACTGCCACTTGATTTTTTAGAAATTATCTGTGTTGTAACTGCTTGATGATTTTGATGAGCAGGTATCGTATCAATGAACTATGCACCAATAACTGTAATCCTTAGTATTTTTCATGCCTATATGTTTTGTATATTGAGATTTTGTTTTATATTAATTTCTGTCTTAATTCAGGTGTCTGATATGCAGAATGTATATGACGAAGTTGATGAGAGAGAGTATGAAAAAAATGTTAGAAAGAGGCAAGACGATGACTGGATTGTAGATGATGGTATATTAGCTTCCTACTTTCATATCCAATCTCCATGATGCATGGTTTCAGAGAGGTGGGGTAAAAAATAAATGGGAAATATTATATTTGAAACTGCTGAAATTGAATGGCGGTTGTGTTGGGATGTCCATAGATCTGAAACAAAGTACTGGTTAACGAATCCCATTTATGACTTGGAATGATAACCGAGAAAGAATCTTTACCATAGTTATGATTGAGCCATCTTATCTCCACATGATAAATAAGAAATTCCTATCCCCTATTATTGTACTTGACTTGGAATTCTTTATTCACTACAATTTATTATATGATTTTCATATATTTCCAGGTACAGGGGATTATTTCGATGACGGGAGAGAACTTTTTGATGAAGAACAACAAGAATTTGAGGAAAGAAGAAAAGTGAGAATGATAAAACTAGATCTAGATTTTTCTAAAATCGGTTGACAGAAACTTGAGAAGACCACAACTGTAATTGTTGATTTATCCTCGATTGTTTCTCTTTTTTATGAATGGGCCATATTTGTCCGGTTTAATAATTTTCCGTGGACACAGATTACACTGTGATTTTTATAAACAAAATAGACTAGAAAAAATAACATTTTGACCATGATATACTAATTCTCATTTAATACTCACAGATGGATGTTGAAGAAAATGTCAAGAAGGGAAAAGGAAGAGATTCTAAAAAAAAGATAAAGTTGGTAAAATCAAGCAATATTAAAAATATGTTTACTTCTATGGGAGCAAAGAAGAAAACTCACGAGGTACGGCTTAAATATGGTATTTCACGCAGAATTTCTGTATTTAGTTTCTAGTCTGGTTGTCAATAATCACCTCATCCAGGGTGTGTTAATACATTTGGATGTTATGGTAAACTAAAAGGATTTGAGTCTTATATTTTCATAAGTAACAGTATATCTATATATTAAAATGTTTATGGGTTTGTTTATAATAAAACTGAGTTTGCATTCCTTAAAATTATAAGAAGTTTTCACAGGTTCACTTCAAGTAAGCGCTCTGCTGGCAGATCATTTATATTTCATTGTTTATATTTTTAATTGAAGAAATCGGCGGATTTGGCTCAAGATGAATTGTTAGGAGATATTTTGAATGAGATATCAACTGCTAAACCTGATCCTCTGTCAACACAATTAAGACCTGTCAAATTGAAGAAGAAGAAAATCATAACACCATCTGGTAAGCATACTGTTTATGGCATTTTTTTATCTGAATATTTAATTGGATAGTTTGTGTGTGTGTGTGAATAGTTTAATATTCCAGACTTCAGTGGTATTATTGATCACTTTTTTCAAAATTTTTCTATAACTTGGATGATTTTTTTTGATTTGCAGTTTTTTCTAGTGTATAGGCCTACTTGAAGCATATTTTTGGATATGTGTAGTTTGTGACATGTTTCGTGATTAAAGACGCTAAGTATAACTACTTACAAGTATTCAATTCTTATCCGATTCCTACATTTTCGATTCTCGATTACTCGACATATCTTACCGAGAAAACATACCCTAGGCAATACCCTATGAAACTAAACAAGAGAGTGATATTCATATATATATGGACGGACAAGGATGCCAAAACTAAGTAGTATGGATATCCAATCTGTCACAGGAGACAAAATCGCACAAAAAAAGAATCCCTCAGAAGCCACACACATTTTAGAAATAAATAAACGTAAAAGCCTTCTAGCGAAGAAAAAATATATAACATAGTAGTAAAGCAGTTTATACATATATGTGAAGAAATTGTCCCAAAACGTTACACATTGTTTGCAATCCAAGTTTTAATCTCGAGAATCGATTCCAATGCATCGGAATCGATCCTAGTTGATTCCGCGAAGAATCGATTCTGTAATCGAATCCGGACTTGTTTCTGCCATCCCTAATTGTGATGCAGTTAAACAGCCGAATGAAGTTTTTTCTAGATACAAGTTATTTTTTTAAATTTCAAATGTCATTTACATATTAATTTTTGCATTTCACTTTTATTGCAATTTACTGTATTTTTTACAAAAAGTCATAAATTTTTATGTACAAATATCCAAAACATTTTTGAACCAAGTTTTGATAAGGAAAGAATAATACATACATAAAAATGACTTAATCTAAATATATACCCTGAAATTGAAAAAAATACTACGGAATAAAATCAATATTTTTTTATTACATATGTCCTGACATTTGGCATCTTGTTTATGCCACCAGCTTAACAGATATCAGGCTGAAATGATTTTACAGCACCAACACTAATTAACAAGGTCGCATAATCATCGATTAATCTGGATCGTTTGTTTAATTTCAGTAATGAAAAAATATTACGTTTATCATTTCATGTATAGATCAGTAAACAAACATATAGCTTTTCGGACCATACATTCCCTACCATTGCGTGGCATAGGAGCGCTTGCGTTGTGATTGATATTGATGTTTAGTAACTCGGTAGTTGTATGATTATAATAATTTTCTGTATGAAGTTGATATTTAAATGCAGAAATATTGCAAGTTGCAACTACCAATTTTCTTCCAAAATGCCACCTTTTCCATGTACATGGCGTTTCATTTAATCCTTGAAGTGTTTTTTCAAGGGTTCTTTTGCTAGCTTGAGGTGTATCCATAATTGGGTCAAATTAAAAACAAACGAAAAATTTGAACCATTTTCAGGGAATTGTCGTTTTCCGTATGAATATTCAATTTCACTTTAAAAGATTTGAATAATGTATTACATATAAATAAAAAAACTTAAAAATAATACAATTATTGTTAAGCGTTCGAGGGCCGCATTGGAAGTTCTTTGGGGCCGCATGCGGTCCGCAAGTTTAACAACCCTGGTCTGTAGTACAACAGATATTGACAAAGATCTTCAAAATTCTGTTATTCATGAATAGATGCAAAGTATATTTTGAAGTTTTTGAATGTGTATTTGGCACCACTTGCGGTGCTCCAGAAGTGTTTGTACCAATATGGGCCATTCCAAGCAAAAGTTGAATTCCATCAATTTTTTAAAAAGTGTAGTGAAAGTAATTTTTTTTTATTTTTGATATCAAAGGCTTTGGAATTTTATTGGACTGCATTCATTTCATCGAACAATTTAAAATTTCACCCAGGTTTTCGATGGTTTTTAAAAAATGGCCTGAAATGTAGAAATTTTGTTATAATTGACATATTTTGTGATGATTCCTGACACAAAGTGTTTGATTGTGTGGTACAGTTATTTCATATGGAATTGACGCACTGGATTTAGGTGAATAAAGTTTAAATGTTTGCAGTGCTGTAAAACATTTCTTCACCCATTTAACGATTTATTACCAGAATTTTAAGAGATGATAGATGCCGCTATTCCGAAGTGGAAAAATGACCTGTAGTGACACGTCCTGTAGTGTCACATACAATATGCACATTATTGGCATGGATTTACAGTGTTACATTAAGTAACTTGAGCAACACATAGAGGGGTAGTTCTGCTACTGCACCAGAAAATATTATGGGCTCCTACTGTACCATCGCAAAAATTTACAGCACAGCACAACGTACTGTTAGTGCCTGGTGGATTTGTTGTCCTGTAGTGTCTCGCTATATTTTACTATATTTTTTTTATCTACTAAGTAAGGTTGGGTGTAACTTTTGTGCAATTTTTTACATATTCAATAAAGCAACTGATTGGACAATGAAACAAAACATGTAGCTGAAAATGTGAAAATTTATTGAATCTAACAACATGCAAAATTTCTGGAATTGCCCCGTAGTGTCACTTGGAATAGCTCATATGGGGATAACTAATTTAGTTTGCCTACTTTACATCAAGTTGTGTGAAGAGACTGAAGTCTATGGGCAGGGGGAATATTCACTTGGCTAGCACAGACAGTCCCAAACTCCAACTCGTAATAGAACTAAAATAAGGAAAATCTGAATAAAATTATGGTCTAACCCTAACCTGGTACACACACTACAGGAGTACCATATTTGCTTGTAATTTGTGAAAAAAATAAAACAAGTAATGTAAATGAACAATTCATAGTGCTCTAGTGAAAATTGAAGTGATGTTTAATATTTATGCCATGTTTGGTTTGATATTGAATGATCATAAATATTTTTTTTATTTAATATTTAACAGCTTCTGGATTTTCGAGTCCTTTAGAAAGACATACATTGACAATGGAAACTATGTCTCCTCCATCTTCTCTCACAAATAAAAGAATAAAACCAAGAAGAATTATGGTGAGTATTTGAAGATATTCTGTTGTAAGCATCTTTCATTAAGATGAATGAATATATTATTATTGGTGCTCCTGTAGTATGTGTACCAGGTTCGGCCTAGGTCATAATTTTATTCCAATTTTCCTTTTTCAGTTATATTACGAGTTTGGAGTCTTGCCGAATAACTCCCGTAGTATTTGTACCTGAAATTATGTCCTAACACTAACCTGGTACACATGCTACGTTCCGGTGTCCGCCATCTTAGTGCACATACTACAGGGGTACATTATTATGTGTATATCTACTTATTTCAATAATTTTAACGAATCTATTTTATTTGCAAAAATGAACAATCTTGTTTTTCGAGTTCTCGGTAGTTGTAGGCTTCACGCTGTTCTGAAGGAATAATTTTAACTTCATTTTACAAGCACTTCATTTATTTGTTGAATACTAATTGTTTAATTTGCGTCAAATTTACTAATTTGTTAAATTCTCGGTAGTTGTAAGCTTCAAGCTGTTCTGAAGGAATAATTTTAACTTTATTTTACAAGCACTTAATTTATTTGTTGAAAACTAAGATGTTAAATTTGCTTTTGAGTAATAAATAGCTCAACTTCAAGTCTTAGTCTGTCCAGCAGTTCTGATTTAGATTGTTATTTTAAACAGGCACCAACACCAATATCAAACCAACTTTGTGAAGAACCAGAACCGAATAATCCGCAAGATCAAGTAACTCCACCTGCCAAACGATCAAGACTTGATCATATGGATGCAGATACTCAGGAACAACAGAAGATTGTTAAAGAGGAAAGGATAGAAATTAAGGAAGAAGTTATGGGTGAGAAACTTTCAAAGATTCCGAGAGAAGTTGTAATTAGTTGATTCTTTTGTTGGAATGAACCATTTTCAAATTGAATTCTGGAAAAATTAGTCAACTGATAATTTATGATATTTACCGAAAATTACATTTAATTAAGACGAGAAAATATATTTTAGATGTGACTGATATAGATTTTGATGATGATTTCGAACAAAGTCAAGAGAAGAAGCCAGCAATTAGAGTAAGTTTTTGATTATTTAGTTAGTCGCATGGCTATAAAAAAGATTTGTCAGTGTAATTACCCAATACTCAAATTCAGGGGCGCAGCCAGGATTTTTTCCAACATGGGGGGGGGGTTCTCTGTCTGACAGTGTTTGGTGAATGTTTTGCGAGTTCTATTTCAAGCATTGACCATTAATCCGCAGTCGGCGGGTACCTGCATTTAGAAATAAAACATCAAAAATCGCGAATTTAATTTTAGAGAAGACTTGGGTCTATAACTAAGATTACAGTAGCGTCATAATGGTTTGTAAGTATAAAAACACGCTCGCATGTTGCGCCGATCAAATGCATGAAATGTGAAACCATTATTTGGAATTTATTGTTAATGAAGTTGATTTTTTATTGCCATTCAAGGAATATTATTTACATGCGCTGTGATTAGTGGTAGGCAAAATCATATTTTTTAAACGAGTTATTCGAATATTTTCATCAAACACTGAATATTGAGTATTGTCATTTTAAACTAAATTAATTGGGATCTCGGCCGCCGAAATGATCGCCGTGGCAATAAATATATATTTTTTTGGATTTTACTAGAAGTCTGAAAACTCTGTAACAATGCGGCGTTTTTTATTTCATCATTTTGTCATAATCGAAGGCTGCAGTAATTTTTTGTCACCGCGATCGTTTCGGCGGCCGAAATTCCAATTAATGTTGTTAAACTATATTAAAGCATTTTTTTATTCGCTAGCAAATATTAATTCTCACGCAACGGCGGATATCGTAGTTTAGTTATTATATTTCGGACAGAATTGTGAGTTCACATCGGCGAAAATGTGAAAGACAACTATTAATAATACGTATGTTACAAAAAAATTAAAGTTCATCCGATTTAAATAAAAACTGCACCAGTGGATAGATCTAAGTGAAAATAAGAAAACAATACCAAGTTTGCGAAAAATGGTCAAGAATTAACGGAGATATCTGCATTTGAGTACCGCCCGATAGGCCAATTTTTTCCATAAGGATTGTATTGCGCCGACTCAAAAACTGTGACCGCGAGAATGTCAGACCGATAAACAACAGAATGTATCTCGGCTATTTTTGGAGGTAATGGAAAAAAATTTTGAACGAAAAGTTATTGTGAATAGAAGAACCTAATGCAAAAAAGTTTACAAATTCTTTTTAACGATATTAGCTGCTTTTCAATTAATTATGTACGAGAAAGTTTCTGAACTTTACATAACCTCTGGTCGGCAACGACTTTCCCAATACGCAAGTCCCCGCATACGCGGCAATTAACTGATTTAGCGTTTTTCATATCCGACCTTAGTGAACGATTAATTATCATTTAATATTCCTTAACTCGTAGGAGATTTACCGCGCTTAGTGAAACGCAAAACGAGAGAAATCGCTGCGAGGGAAAATGTCGGCATTCAGTCGATAACTGATGCGCGTTGATAGACGCGTGCTAAGATCATACTTCTCGTGCCTTGAATTAATTTGTACCGTTTCGTAAACGTATGCGAATTGACTTTTTTCAATGAGAACTTTAATAAATATGAAAAAAAAACACATATCAATCTTTAATTTTTTGATGTACGTCACATCTAAGAAAATTCAGATTACTTTAGGATTTTATTCTGGCAACAATCATTGAGGCCGTCGGAAGATCGTCGCAAATCAACCCTGGAGTTGAGCATATTAGTTTGACAGTGCCTCGTTGCGGGTAATAATTAACGATGTTCTGATTGAACAAACTTCATAAAAATTGGTAAGTATCAAGTTAGGAATGACATACATGCGTCCATATATATTTTATTGGTGTCCATAGACAATATCATTAATTTGCAGTACGTATAACTTTAGCGTAATTTTTAAAAGCCCCGAATGTTGGGAAATTTATGCGCTAATGAAAAAATTCAAATACCAAATCATAGTTGCGCATTTTATCTAAGTTATGTCCAAATTTCATGGAATTCCAAGCAACAGCAGGCAGTCCGTAGTCGTTTTTATGAGCGGTATTCTGACACGGCGTTACGGTACTTAGCAGACGTGGTGCGTACATTTTTTGGCGCGAAAAAGCGCGTTTTGTAACATTCCTATTAATAAGGAGTGCATTCACAACACAAATTAATTTTATTCTGATTTTTATCTTCGGTGTAGGATTTATATCACAGTTTATAAATTACGGTTCCAATTTTAAGCGAACACTATTATTATCACTAAACCCGGGATGCGATATTCGTGAAGCGGATCGTTGACATTTCTATGCTTTTAATTTTAGATTGTGTCCGTCTTGTTTTCCTAATAAATAATAATTAAAAACTCCCGCAAATTGGTAATCTCTTGAATACTTAGTGTTGAGTATTCAAGTAACTCAGCTTTGGGTTGAAACACTGATACTAAATACGTGAATAAGTCGGCAATAATGGCATTTCTACATTGTCAAAGTAATATTTCTCCCCAATATGTCGAGAAATTTACATAAAATACATTATTTACTTGTCTTACTTATCTGTTTCGATGTTTCTAAATTTACATAAAGGGCGTTGACACGCTTTATGTAAAATCGTTTCACATTTATCGTTTCTACTTGTTAGCGATAACCGTCGGTTAATTCTAACCCGTAACTCGATGTAATTTAATGTCAATAAATTCTATTTTGCATTCAATGCGCTGTGATTTGTATTAATAAAAGTGATTGAGTCGAGAGAGGAAAGTCCTTAAATTAGCTTCTAACCCTTCTCTCCTTTTGATCGCCCATAACGGCGGTAAAATTAGTTTCAAGTCTGTTTCGGTGAGAAAGGAAAAAAGGCCTTCCAGAATTGCAATCAACTATTACACATTCTTAATCATCATTATCAGCGCCGGATAAAAAAAATAACATATCGCAGTGACGAAAAAAGTCTGGTTGTGTTAATTGCGTTACCATGATAACACACAGTATAATATAAAAGAATAAATAAAGTATAATATGAAAGAATAAAAAAGATAACATATCAAAAAGACGAAAAAATTCTGGTTGTGTTAATTGCGTTACCCTGATAACGCACAGTATAATATCAGTTTGACCAGTAACCATAACCGAGTACTGGACGTCTGGACCATCCCGTATATATTCTAAAAAATATTCTTGAATCTGGAAATCCGAATACAAATGCCATGTGTGAGTTATGGTTGAAATTTATTTGTTTTCTATTTCTAACGATAGAGAATTATTGTAAAAAAACTTAACTGTATTTATACTTATGAATTGTAGTGCGCCTTGGCAAGTACAGACAAAATAGCAACTAGGCCCCCAGTGACACATTTTTTGACAAGGCTAATTTTTGTTATACTTTCTAACTGTTTTTCATCAGCGTGAATGCTATTAAGCCCATCGACTTCGTTAGGCTTAATTCCGCCACTCTCCATATCACACAATTATCCCTCTACACGTGTAGTAATCAAGTCTCATGGCACCGCGGGCAAGTCAGTTAAATTTTTTTTGCTTGCGAAAGTGTTCATCCATATTCGAGGTCATAATATATTCGATTCAATTTGGACATCCGTGGTTCCAAGTACAACAATTTATCAAACAATCTTTCAGTTCTACATGTGATTGTTCATTTTTCTTTAGAGAAAATTTTTTTTTTTATGCACGATGATGATATATTTCTGCTTTTAGATGGAGAAGGATGCTGGTCCACAACTGTCATCTTTAGGATGGGAAACAATTAAGCAAGAAGCTGCAGAAACTCCGCAACAATCTGATATTGTTCTTGATTCATCTCAACTTCCTCTTGTTAGTGATAATGATGGAAACCAGGTAAGATTAGGCCATCTTACCATTTGATTATGAGTTTAAAAAGTCAACATAGTCAAACATCAATTTACCAATATTATTACTTTTGAATTTTAGGTCTTCAGATTTTATTGGCTGGATGCTTATGAAGACATGTATCAAAAACCAGGCACTGTGTATTTATTCGGGAAGGTTTATATTGAATCTGCCAAAACTCACGTCAGCTGTTGTGTCACTGTTAAAAATATTGAGAAACGTGTGTATTTGTTGCCAAGAGAAAAGGTGAGATCTCATCATGCAGCATACAGCATTGATTTAAAATATAATAGGCTAGTCCCCTTTTGTTCGACCAATACTGACATTCTGACAACCAGTGACAGTAAAATACTATCAAATTTTTTTCTATGGTTTTATAACAGATTTTACGCACACAATATCTGTTTTGGATTACCGGTATATGATGAAGCTCTTATATTTTCTATTTCCCATGTGTTAGACCAAGGGTTCTCGAACTTGTGGTGTTATGGAGTCCGTGAAGAAGTTGACTATTATTTACGAAGACCCATAATAAATTTATAAAAAATAAATGAAACAAATGCACCTTGTTACTTACCGATTATTGTTCTTGAGTAAACTAAAATTACCTCATTTAATGATGTTTTTGCTGCTCTTTGTTTAAAAATATGCAATATTTTAATAAATAAACGAATAGCCCGCAGAGCCCCTAGGTTCCCATGGAGCCTGTGGCTTCTTACAGAGCACTTCGAGAACCTATGTGTTGTGTTAGCCAACCGTGAAAATGCTCCATTTAAAAAAAGATGTCCCTATGACTTCACATGGAAATTTATTCAGTGTAGTCAAATCAGGAGATGATTGTTTATCTGTTTCATATAAGGATCAAAGCACTGGTGAGGATGTTGGACTACAAGATGTTTATAAAGAATTTGATTCAACGATAGCATCCAGATATAAGATCATGATCTATAAAACCAAGGTTTGTATCTGATTAAGGCGAATATCCCAGAAAACAATAAATTTAATGATGCGGAATTCAGGCTTAATTTTCAGGCATTTATTTACTTGTCAATGGGCTGTCACTGTCTGTATTCCAGATTGTTGAAAAGAAATTTGTTTTCGGAGAATCTGACATTCCTGAACATAGTCAATATGTTGAGATCACATATTCTCCTGAATACCCTACTTTGCCTCAAGATTTATCAGGAAACACTTTCAGCCATGCATTCGGAACAAATCAATCATCCTTAGAATCATTCCTAATTCGAAGAAATATCAAAGGTCCTTCATGGATGGATGTGAAAATGCCACGTAAGGAATTGGTTGTTTCTAGTGTCCCTTTTCTAACTTATGAGCTCTTTATCAATGTTTCAAGGCTGAAGTTTCATCGGGAATGTGTTTAGATGAGGTGATATTTAGAAATTTTAATAATGGAAATTATAGTTTTGAAAGAAAGTTTGTTGTATGGCATTTATTTATAGGCTCAGTGGACGATGTTATTATTACTATTTTCCTGAAATTACGAATTCTATGCTCTGCTTGTATGTCCAAATTTAGTTTACTCAACATTTTGAATTCATATAGTTCAGGAATATCTTAGAACAGTTCATTTAGAGCAGGGGTTCGCGACCCGCGGGCCAAATCCGGCCCGCGTAACAATTTAAAATGGCCCGCCGAACTTGAGTAAAACCATGTTGTTATGTCATTACCACAGTTAAAGCACGTGTTTATCGCGTAACAATTCAAGTATGCCGATATCTCAATAATACGTACCGGTATTACCGTGTTTCCCCAAAAATAGAACAGATTATTTCAATTTTCTTTCGAAAAATATAACTAGGGCATATTTTCGGGGCGTGTCTTTTATTTTCATGAGTCAAAAAAAAATTACAAAGATTTTCAAATATAAAAAATATGAAAACCAATATCCGTTTACTTGAATGGCACGTTTTCCTCTTTCACACTTGTTAGATTAATCATTTACAACGTGTAGGGGAGACTTCCTGCTATCGACTTGGTGCTACTGACTATACGTCTTATTTTACGGTGAGGCTTATATTAAAATCATTCTTAAAATTCAGGCTAGGTCTTATTTACGGGATTGGTCTCATTTTCAGGGAAACACGGTAGGATTACAAAGAGCAGTAATTAAGTTATCAGCCCTATAAGAAAGCTTACAGATGTCAAAAAACAAACAAAACTAGACTTTGCAAATAGACGTTTCCGGGATAAATGGGAGCTTTCATATTTCTGTATTGCAAAGAATCGGACTTCAGCGATTTGTCTTCCTTGCCAATGAAATATTCCAGTTCTGAAGGAATACGACATTAAGCCCCATTATGGGTCAAACAAACAGATTGCAAAAAATGTCAAATGAAAGTGAATTCACTGAACCCCAGCTAAACCGCCGCGAACTTTCGGGCGCTAAACTCTTCCGGCCTGCGAACATTCTCCCGATTCTAAATTTGGCCCGCGCCCAATAAAGTTTGGGAACCCCTGATTTAGAGCAATAAAATTACATTATTACTTCAGACCTTCAGTCAATTTTCGAAACCTATAAATTTGTTATAGACAACCGATCAAATTACAGTTTATCTTTACTTTTATGTATTTTCAAACTCAATGAATATTCATAGACTTTTATTTGTTTTTTGCTGAGAATGACCCAATTTATAGCATAATTGATATTCAAAAATATTACTTCAACTTGTAATCTGAAAGAAAGATTATCTGGAATCGGCCATCACTGTTGACAGATTCTTGTTCGGTATATTATCCTGTCCTTACTGCAATTCTATTTGAACCTATTCAAACCTAATATATATCTATGAGATATTCATTCAGGATTCATTGTTTCAGAATTGAATCCTCATCCAGTAAGTTGGTGTAAAGTTGAAGCTTGTATTAGTTCACCATTACACATCACTCCGATCAAAGATATTCCACCACCACCTCTCGTTGTTCTAACATTTGCAACAAAAACACTTCCAAATCTGAAGACACATCAAAATGAGGTGAGAAGTCATTGTTTGAATAAACACAAAAGGAGTATCATCGCATGTTGGAGAGTTATATGAAGAATGAAGAATATATCGAGAAATGCATCGTTTTTTACTTTTAAATGAGAATTTAGTCGAAGCCAGATTATATGCAGCCACTGAAATGTCAAGAGATGCTAAAACTATACACAGTTATGGTGTTGCATTACATAGTAATAAAAGTTAGCTGGTGTGAGAAATGAAGCTTTGGAAAAATATCCACAGAAAATTATTTGCCTTCAATATTAACAATGATTTTCAAATTTTTTTTGTAATTTACTTTTGTATAAAGATGAACATAACCTAGGAATCTGGTTTTAAATCACAATGGCTCCTGAAGCTTCATTTATTACCTCGTGGCTGAGCTCCAACATTGAAGCTTTTTCATATTTTCTCAGATTATAGGTATCGCAGGCCTTGTTCACAATCAATTCGGAATCGATAAGGCGGCTCCAAAACCACAGTTTCAAACAACATTTTGTGGTAAGTATACTAGATATATATTCATTTGAAGGCTTTGAAGCTATGGTAAAGCTTGATATAATATTTGTTACCACTGTTGTAGATGGTCTATGACAGGGCTACTCAACTGGCAGAACGCGATCTGAATCAAGACCTTTCGACTATTCAATTTGCACCGCACCTGATTCTTTATTTTGCAGCATTTGCCTCATTAACTTTGGATATGTGGAGGTTTATTTTCGATAAATAACTTTTATTTAAGAGACCTAATTTATTATAACAATGAATCGAGGATGTCAATTTTTTTGCAGATACTTTGTTTTCCGCAAGACGCTTTGTGTTAACCTAAAAGTTCCAGGCATTAAGATATATTCAGGCGAAATGTAAAATGTATTTTCTGAAAAGGCCAGACCCCAGTAATTTTGAAGTTTTGTATACAAGTCTTTGGTGAAAATAGTTGAGTAGCCCTGGTCTATGGTATGACTACTAACTACTATCTCTCGTACCATTTATGTGCACCGGTTGATTTACTTTTCTTACTATTGCACATTGTAATGGTACTCGAGATGATAGAGTACATTCACCAAACTGTATGTTTTTCAAGAAAAAAATAGAAATATTACTACTTACTAGAATAGTTTTTGATTATTTCTTTGGGTTCAGTTTAGTGCAAAAGCCTCCATAAGCAATCAGCTATTGCACTTTAACTGTACCCAAAGAGGATTCAGCATACATCAACTTTTAGGCAAAGGTTTCTGGACACATATCAGTAGTATTTAGACGTTTCCTTGGTATTGAAGACTTGCAATTGCAACTAGGGGGGGTGGGGGGTCTTACATTGCGTTCTTAAAGTAAGAATATAAGATTAAAATTTAGCTGATATGGAAAGATATGATCGATATGGTTTAAATTCCTATTCAACTTTTATGGGCTTCTAATAAAAATACTCACAGTTCATGAAGGGTATGTACCTGTGTAATAGCATTTAAAATATACACGCAATTGCACATATATGTATCCTCTGTTAACTGTTACTTTCATCATTATTTGTGGTAAGTACGGCAGTAACATTAGATCTAGGTAGCTTCAGATTATGTCTGTAAAAAATGACTTTCGAAGTAAATGATCACTTTATTTTGTTCATTTATATATTCAGCATTAACCAAGCCAACGGATTGCGTCTTTCCGTATGATTTCCGAGATGCAATAAAAAGAAAGAAAGCAGAGGTTGAAGTGATGCCAACTGAAAGAATGTTTCTGGCATATTTTCTCGCTAAACTACAAAAGGTAAGTTCTTGAATTTCAGTGAATTTACTTACATTCTTAAAAATTTAAATATTTGTCTTCTATTATTTATCAGAGTAGTTTCTTGAATTGTTTGCAAAAAAGCCTGTATGCTATTTGTTGTTTGATTTATTGTGAAGTTTCTCAACAGCATGAAAATTTTACATATTTGATATAAATAAAACTTCAAATTCATTGAGAATATGTAGCTTCTGAAATCTACAGTCACTACATGTCTACACCGCCTTCATTTCACCACATGTTAATTAAAATCAAATACACAACATGGATTTAGTTGATGATGATATTTATCACGATGGTCTTCTGAATTGATAAGATGACCCAATATTAGCTCTATCTGATAACTAAATTCATGCAAGAACTTTTAGGCTTATGGTAAAATTTATTCATCTTCTGGAAACATACCACTGGTTGAAATAATTGAAAACCGTGTTTGATTGTGAAGGTTCTAGTTTTGTTTTTACATACATAGCGACAAGCGATAGGTAATAACCATAATTGAACAGCATTACCAACCAGTCAACCCACATAATACTTCATCTGTAATATTCCGAATTTCATTTGTTTGTTTCAGCTTTCCAATTCCAGGAAAATCAGTTGACAGCCCATTTCCTTATGGATTAAACTTTTTGAAATACTGCAGTATTTCCTAATCCATGGTTGAATTCAATGTTCAAATGCTACGTTTTGAAGTCATTTTATCATTTTTAGATTGATCCGGACATTATAATTGGTCACAATGTTCATGACTTTGATTTGGATGTTTTGTTGCATAGAATATCTGCTTGTAAAGTAGCAAACTGGTCTAGAATCGGAAGATTGAGAAGGACAAATATGCCTAAGATGTCGGTAAGTTACTTGAATTGAAAAAAGTTGTTCCATTCAGACTTCTTTCTGTATCTTTTGTATGATATATTGAATATTAGAACAGTATTCTTAAATTTGAATACATATCTTATGTACAAACAATGAAACAAGTATATATGATATTCCTATATTTCTCAGTTCTTATATGCCAACTTTCTGATACTCAAGTACAGTGGAAAATGGATTTAGTTGATGATGATACTTATCACGATGGTCTTCTGAAATATATGATGACTCAATATTAGCTCTATCTGATAACTAAATCCATAAACTGAAACATTTCTCAGATTTATATAATGGTATTGAAACAACTTGATATATATATGTTGGACAATTAAACTGGTGAGGTTATTGAACAAGCCATTGTGATGTCTAAAAGATTTTGACTGGGAAATTTTTCAGGCTGGTGGAAGGTTCCTGGATAGAGCAGTTACTTGTGGCAGAATTCTATGTGATGTTAAAATCATAGCTAAGGAATTGATCCGATGCAAAAATTATGAACTTGTCACTTTGGCCGAACAAGTTTTGCACAGAAAAAGACAAGAACTTGAACTGGAACATGTCAAAAATATGTTTGAGTAAGAACTCTTACTTGCTGTTGTTTGCCTTTTTTTAAAAAAAAAATAACAAAACATAATAACATTACACCAATTATCACTGATTCAGTTTGTTAATTTATATATTATTGATTTGTATTAGTTGAAGACTTTTTTGTTCAACGTAATTTTACAGAATTTCTATTTGTTTTGTTTCCATTTTTGGAGCTGATATATTTTTACGCATCCATAATATTCAATTGTTCAATTTTTTTATTATTAAACTTAGGTCTTCACAACAGCTTATGTGGTTGGTAGAACATACTTGGATAGATGCAACACTTGCACTCGGTATTGCTTGCGAATTGAACGCTCTCCCTCTTGCGTTGCAAATAACAACCATAGCAGGTTCGTTGTTGAGAGATTTTTTGCTAATCTCAACAAAAATAATTATTCATAAAGCAATCTTAAATAAACATTGTTTATCATTATTCCATGTTTGATGGCAATAGATGATAGATAATGGAGTTTCTGGAATCTGACAAATGATGATTATCACGATGGTCTTCTGATTTTATGATGACTTTTGATTAGCTCTATCTGATGACTGATTCCAAATGATAAAACTTCTATTCATTCAACAGCTTATACACATCTGTTAAATGCTTGGCATACATGGCTTTTTAAAATAATTCCTTTGTGCATCTAGGAAATGTTTTATCACGAACGTTAATGGGAGGAAGATCAGAGAGAAATGAATTCTTATTACTTCATGCGTTTCATGACAAAGGATTTCTTCCCCCTGATAAAGGTATTTCATTTTTTCCAGTTATATTTTTTGTGTTCCCCAACTGGTAATAGTATTAACATTTGCAATTGGTTACGATGCAAAGAAAGCCATTTCTTACCTTTACAGTTTATAAGAAAAGGAATCATCCAGCTCAGAAAAATAACTCTCATGATGATACCACAGTCAGCGGTATGTTAATTCTTTTTTTAATATTAGTTATTTGATGTTTGTGCTCATTGAATCAAAAGATTTTCAAACAGGTGTGGCCAGGAATATGGAGCTGTTTTTGGTGCTCCAGAAGTATGTGTACCTGAAACTTATGGGCAGGTGTTATATTCACTCGGCTAACACAGACAGTCCCCGAACTCGAAATGGAACTAAAATAGGAAAAATCAGAATAAAATTATGACCTAACTCTAACCTGGTACACACACACACTACGGAAGTACCGTTTTTTTGGTATGCCTGCTACCATGAAACATCAGCCCAATTCTTGATATAATGGTTTCAGATCCTAAAATTGAACTTCGAACTTTCATATATACAAATTTAACTTGAAATTTTTAAAAGTATATTAGAAATTGGATTAGTAAAAACTATAAGCTGACAAAAATATATTTTATTATTTGTATGAGAGAAATTTATGATTGTGAAAAAATTATTAAATGGTTTGAAACTGGAACTAATAAAATTAATGGTAATTCCTGCACGAGCTCCTCCAATTATGGTAATCTTGGCTTCAGTTCTATCAAAAATGAAACAGATTCAAAATTCAATTCCGAACCCTGGATGTAACTCTTTCATGACGTTTTCTTTTGATTTTCTTCAAGATATAATGTGATTAATTAAATTAATGAATGATTAAAAATGACAGCATATCTCTGTTCAGATAGAAAATTTCCATTGGTGAAAGAGGAATTTAGATTTCATGAATATAAGCAATAAGCATATGCCTTTCCTAATATTTGACATAATAAAACTTCAATGAGGTTTCAGTTTCACTGATGAATTCTTTCTATACAAAGAATTCATTTTTATCTTTACTTATATTTGGCCAGGTGGTGCATCAGGGAGGACAAAGAATAAGAAAGGAACTTCGTATACAGGAGGTCTCGTTCTCGAACCCAAGAAAGGATTTTATGATAAATATATTTTGCTGCTTGATTTCAACAGTTTGTATCCATCTATCATACAAGAATATAACATCTGCTTCACAACTTTGGATAGACATCCTCCTCCTAACTCAGGGGTAAGAAAATCATCAAATTTATTTGCATGAGGAGATTATATTGTGATTTACCAGTTTTGGTGTATATATAAATTGGATGAATTATGTCAGAGAAAGTGTCGCTCACCATGTCCCTTGCTTTGGGGTGTAAAATACGGTGAGTTATATATGAAACGACGTACATGTCATGAATATTACAGGTTGCACCATCATAGTCATTTTCATTGAAGCTTCATATTTTTTTATGTGTTTGTATATTTTCACTAGCGCTGATGCCTTTATCTACATTGATAGTTTTATGTTTTATCTATCATGATTGTCTTCTGAATTGATACGATTGTATTTTGTTGGAGTATCTGATAATTGGAACTTGCAATTGGTCATTTTCAATAATTTTTTTTTCGTTTTCAATTTTTTGTAGTCTATCAATCTACTGATCACTGTTTTGCCATATATAGCATTGAACGGGTTTTTTAGAATCATGGTCTTTATTGGAAATACTAAAACAGAAAAAGTACTAACGAGAGCTCTCGAACACAAGTCTTTTTGACTCCTCTGACTGTCTGAAGCATCTACTTACTTGACCTCTACCACTTTTTACCTAGGCTATGTCTTTCTCTATTTATCTTCATTTAATCTCATTATAATCACCGTTTTTCATATGAATAGCTTGATTTTGTATAAAAACAAATTGATATTTTTAGATTGACGTAGACACATACATTCCTGATGTTCCTGAATCTGGTTTGGAGTTCGGAATTTTACCGACTGAAATCAAGAAACTTGTTGATAGAAGGAGACAAGTTAAGCAATTGATGAAGAATCCATCACTGTCACAAGATGAATATACACAGGTTTGTAGTTTGATTAATAGTGGAGCTTCAATCATAAAAAAAAAATTATTTGTTGTAGGGTGGTTGTCAAACTACGCACACAGAAAATTTTTAAACTTGTTAATCTATTTCATATAATACTCATCTGCCCGTTTTTACAGATTACATGAAATGACAAAATCAGTTGAAAATCTTCCTAAAGAAGAAATAACTATTAACTATGTTAAACATTCAGATTCAGTCATGTTATCAATATATTCGACTGATAGCACAAAAACTTGCATGGCATTGATGATTAGATATGCATATATTATGTAGAATTTGCAATTTAATGTAGTAGTAGTCAAATTTTCTTAATGTGTTTTGACCTGTCATACAGGAGTTTTGAAAGTTTAGGAACCTCTGAGACTTGTCATGTTGTCATCGATATATTTATTGTAAAAATAATGAGATAAAATATTCTTCAGTATAACATTCGTCAGCAAGCTCTCAAATTGACAGCGAACAGTATGTATGGATGCCTTGGATTCGGTAATTCAAGATTTTATGCAAAGCCTCTAGCTGCTCTTGTTACGAGACAAGGAAGGGAGGTGAGACAATATTTATTATTATTGTAATTTTTTTTATCTTCTATCATCCTAGGTATATATAGTTTTTTATCTTTTTCACACTTGTGGTTATATCCTCGTTATTTTCTTTAAAGCTCGATCCAAATTCCAATTTTTTCAATGGTTTGCCGACCATACTTTGATTGATGACATAATTGTGGAGGCAATGGCTTGATAGATAGTGTTGGACTCTTCTTGTTCAGACCCACCATCTTACCCTCGGTGTATTAAATTGGATAGGCAATGCTGACTCGAAAGATTATGGTCCTACAGGTTGTAGATTTCTAGGTTGTAAGTTGTACCAGGTTAGGGTTAGGCGATGATTTTATTCTAATTTTCCATATTTTAGCTCTATTCCGAGTTCGGGGACTGTCTGTGTTAGCCAAGTAAATATACCCCCTGCGCATAGGTTTCAGTCCCTTTGCACAACTTATTGTAAAGTAGGCAAACACACTTTCACACTTAACAACAATGAGATATGTGTAGTCTACCTGTTTCCATCATTTGTATTTTTCTAAAAAATTTGTGTGTCCCTGTTGGAAGGATGGTAGGAAAATAGAAATTTCAGTTATTTTTGAAAAATTTCGATGCAATGTAATGTTTTTCCTATCAGATTCTACTGCACACAAAAGAACTTGCTCAGAAAATGGGTCTGGAAGTAATTTATGGAGACACAGATTCAATCATGATAAATACAAATAGTAAAGATATGGATCAAGTATTCAAACTTGGAAACCAGGTATTTCCTGCTTTTGTTCTAACTTTGAAAGATTGTTATTACTGGTTTAAACTATATATGTCTGATGCGCAAAGAAGAAATAGAATTACAATATTTTCTGTATACCGGTATTTATTTTTATTTCTAAAAGGAAAAAGACTGATAGAGCCAAATATAAATAAAAACTTGTCAAAATGTCTCTAAAAATGGTTTTCATTGCTACTGGCTTTGTTTTTACAGTTCATAAGTAAAGTTGACAAAATTCTAAAATGCCTGCAGAGAATCAAACTATTTATATATGAATGTTGATGACCTGGACTTGGTATGATCCAATTGTGTTGTAATTTCAGGTGAAAGCTGAAGTCAATAAGTTGTACCGTTTATTGGAGATTGATATCGATGGTGTTTTCAAGTCAATGTTGTTATTGAAAAAGAAGAAATATGCTGCGCTCAGTGTTCATAAGTAGGAATTTTTTATCATTTATTTAACATTTGATAATAAGTTGTGGATGAGGGAATTATACTTTGCTTTGCTTGTTTTATATAATATCTTTCAGATTTAACTGGAAAGTCATGTTGACGACAATGCGCATGTAGCGTCCTATAGGTTTGAACCATGAGATTAATTTTGCGAGAATATGAATTATGACAAAACTGTTTTCTATTGGAAGGAGTTTACGAATAAGACTTTGTAAAAGCAGCCTCTGTAGTAATTGTAGGACAGTACAGTATATAATGTTTTGTGGAATTAATTTCAATTTCTTTGAAGGACGCTGTTCCATTTCTAATCCCAACCTGATTGAATTCCCATCTAAGTAATATTTCATGTAAAGTTCATGATTATCGAAGAAAGCAAAATGCGATCGGTTAAAAAACATTTAAACAAAATTGTTATGAGGCTGGATTTTTTTTATTGTATTTTTTGTTCTAGAAATCCAGACGGAACATTTTATACAAAGAAAGAACTGAAAGGTCTCGATATTGTGAGAAGAGATTGGAGTGAACTTGCAAAACTTGCTGGAAAGTATGTTTGTTTATTTACTCATCAATAACTTGGAATCGAATTATCAGTAGAATTTTTCAAAAAAAAAATTTCAATGTAATGTATTAGTGGTTAGCAGATTGGACTCAAGTTGACATCCCTGGTAAAATTATTAGGTCTCTTATTTGGAGTCTTGTTCAGAGCAAAGTTGCAAAAACAAATACAAAAATAATTGAAGACAAAACTGGTAAGTATCGAAAGTCATTAATCCAGATTGCAAGTTTTACTGCTTAAAAGTGACTATGATATAAATAATATTTCTTATGTGCTTTTTGAAGCAGTTTCGTAAACTTTCGAACAAATATTAATAATTTTATGATATCAGACTTGTGTCAATATCACATTACTTTTGAATTTTCAGATTCTGTCACCAAAACATGGTTCATTAGCTTATTACGGCTTTCCACTGCATAAAGGAGATTTTAGTTTCAATATTTTCTAATTAATTTCACCTTTTTCCAATCAGTTATGCAGTCAGTGAAATTCTTTCTGATCAAGCTCGAGAAACAATTGTTGAAAATATTCATGGACAACTTCAAGAAATTAGTGAAAAAGTCCGAGGTGAAAAATATCCAATCGAGACATACATAATTAACAAGGTAAATGATTTGTTCATCACTTTGACAAGGCTTTGTATAATATATGTAAGAATTTTTCAGAAGACTGCCCAGGGTTGTTGATTAATTGGAGAAAAATCGAATTGGGAAAATGTCAAGTGGACCAAATATCCACCGAGGCTGTTTTATGACAGTTACATATTGCCTTTGATTTGCTCTCGCTGACCAGCTGTTCAGATAGCATCTGGAAATAGGGTTCTGAACTTGTGAACTTCGGTACATTTCTCCTGTGTCTTTTGAATTTGTGGAAATCATTTTGACCACATGAGGCAATATTCTGAAATTATTCTCAATATTGGAAAACTAGTTCAGTAACTTGGGCAAAGCCCTGTGTCAAACTATGTCTCTATACTATTTTTAGATGTATTGTGGTAAAAATTGACCAACAGTATTTTATATGTTTTAATCAGGAACTGACGAAAGATCCACAACATTACCCTGGGAAGAATAGTCTACCTCATGTCATTGTTGCTTTGAGATTGAATAATAACATGAGTAAACATTTAAAATCAGGGGATGTTGTATCATACGTCATCTGTAAGGTATGTCATTTGTTTGGTGTTACTGAACAACGGAATATTTTGTATTCTTGGTTTAGAATAGTCATAGTTGGGTTAAAAGTTTAGAAAAGAAATGGGGTGATATATTCGTTCGTTTCCTTGAGGCTTCCAAAATATATGATCAATGATAAAATCGATCTGGTTTAGTTTTTTTTTTTGAATTTCAACATGTAGTTAACTTGACGATGCTTGCAATCATATACTTGTTTGTTTTCTTAAAATAGGATTTTATTATCATATTTTTGTGGTCTTTCATAGTGAACTCATTTTTCCAATCTCCTGAATTTTTTCCTCACTGCTGAATTTTTAGGATGGAACCAATAATCCTGCAACACAACGAGCATATGCAGTTGAAGAGGTTCAAAAGAGTGATACTTTGAAGGTGGATATTTTCATGTTCAATTGTAGAACATTCTCTATTTGTCAATATTCAATTCAAACTGTATAACATTTTAGTGGATAATATTCCTAGTTTTACACAACATAATGTTGCTGCTCCAAAACTCCTAAATGATATCAAATTGCTTAAATATGGGTTGTTTTTATATCAGATAGTTAGGCATGGGCCCTTGTTTGGGTCAGATTGAATACCTGTTTATTATCTTTGCGTATTGCGTTTTTTTGTTTTATGTATTGAAGAGTTTGTTGTTGTGTGCTTCTCAGTTTTCATCTGTTTTGATTTTTGTCGATAGATTGACGATGAATACTACCTTGCACAACAAGTTCATCCCGTAGTGATGAGACTCTGTGAACCAGTGGATGGAACTGATTCTGCTCATATTGCGCAATGTCTTGGTAAGTAGCAACTACTTTTTTCCGCTGTTGTACTTGTATTGTTATTTGGCTTAAAAGAACACACAATAGTACTTGAATAGTAGATATACATGCTCAAAATGTCTGAACAATGTAAATATTTCAAAATTCTGTATTTCGTAAATACTCTCATTTCAATTAAAAGTCAATCTTATGTAAATAGACATTGATTTGTGCTAATTCCTCTGTTTAACGTGGCCTAATTTAGGAAATACCCAAAATAATTATTTTAGATTGTATTGTGTGATTACTCTGTTTTGGTCATCCCTTTCTGTGATAATAACGGGCCATTGAACCACACAATCTATTGATTGAAACTGTAAAACAATGATTGCAGGATTAGATCCAAGCGGTTACAAACAATCAATAGCAGCACAGGCAACAGAAGAAGATGAAGAAGATAGATTGTTATCAGTTCAAGCTACAGAAGAAGAAAGATTTTCTGAATGTTCTCCTGTCTTATTCTCTTGTCCTGAGACCGGAAAGGAAATAACACTGAAGCATGGTGTTTTTGCTGAAACAGTGAGGAATATTTGACTTTTTCCATTGTAGAACTAACCGTAAGAATGTGTCCACTCATTGAAATCAAGTGAAAAATTCTATTGCCAATAGTACACCATTGTACTATTATGATTGTATAGAAGTTCCGTGCAATTGCGCAATTTGGTACAACCATTTCATATCACTTGTGCCCAAATTTTAAAATATTTTGGTTGAACAAAATTAATATCTCTTGATACTCATGATCTTAGAATATAGTGTTTCATTATTATTATTCCTATTATTGGATTTTTTTGATCAGTTTCCTTTTGAATCTTAATTTAGGATCCAACATGGAAGCCATCCTTAACATTGGAATGTGGTGAACGCGATAACAAATCAATTTATAATTTTCTGCCTCAGTTCCAGAATCAAATAGTTCAACAAATACGAGCAGACATTGACAGATATTACAAGGTATTTTCTATCAAGTTTGTTTCCGTAATAATAATTCCTGCTACATTACACTCTACAATTTTATCTATAAATGAAATTATTTAGTCATAAAGTTTTCTAATGGACATGTCCATAATTAAGTAGTTTGTTGTTCTCAAATTTTTTTGTACAAGCTTATTTTCAGAAATAAAATGAGAACAGAATAAACGATGAATGAATTTTACAAATTTACAAAACACCATTTCTTGATTGGTGTTAATTTCAAATTCTATTTAGAACATATTCCTGCATTTATTGTATTATTCACTCTTTCATGCATATTTTTAGTTATGCAGAAACATCTGTAATTTCACAACTGTCAATCAATTGAACTAAAATTCAACTACCCAACAATAAAATTTCATACTGATATATTACACAAATATTATATTTTGCTCATTTCTATAAGATTCATTTCTGGCTGGGAAGAATTTTTTTAATGTGAGATTACGTCACCTTAGTTTACTATCATATTAATATCTCAAGATCTTAATTAATTTGCTCTGTATTGCGAAATAATTTTGTGCTAATCACCCCATGTCCTTGTTGGTACTCGTCTCCATAGAGATGAAGTAAACAAACGTTGATTAGAGATTTTCATTACATCCTGTTATGCGTGAGAACAAAACACAAATATAGTCATCGATTTTATATTAGTGATCATGATTTTGTAAAGTGTCAATTGGCCAAAGATGATTGAGATGAAAGTTAGCTCTCAAGTATGGAATTTGGTAGTTCATACTCGATTGAGAAATAAATGAGCTAGTAAGTTCATTTTACAATTTCGAGTCAATCATAACTTACATCTCGGTGAGCGATACTCGATGCCGCCTGGGTAAATATGCTATCGAATCCATCGCATTTTTCTCACCTCTGAAAAATGTTCTCGGAACGAACAAGTTTTTCTGTGAATAACGTACATACTTGTTCATGATTAATATTTTGGAAATTCATAATTTGAAAAATTAAGCCACAGTTCTCTGTTCTATTCGCCACTCTGCTCATCCCTAATCGATGCATTTTTTGTCAACAGCCGGGACATGTGTGCAAATAGCCCCATCACCATTGAGCTCAAACGAGTGGGCCCTACACCCCTGAAGTGGCCTATTCTGTCCTTGTCGGAGCGTCATATCATCATAATTAAACATCAAATTGTCATCAATTCATACCAATTGGTGCTCATTTGGACCTCAACCATTTTAGCCCTTTTGGTATTTTCTGCTCTGATTAGTAGGTGCAAATTTTCCTGGGCTGTGATAAAAGGGTTAAACATGAATGAACAAACACTAGACTACATGTCATATTTCGATTTCTAAATAATGAAAAATTTGTCCAGTTACACGTCGTCGAAAACAATGCTTGTCAAGAGACGACACTTTCACTAGGTTTTTGTTGTCCCGCAACTTCAAAAGCCTCTTGTCCGCCACTCCAGAACTATTGTCTTGTTTACATAATAATTCATATCCAACAAAAAATTTATGGTGATAATTCAACATAAAGACTATGAATTTTTCCTCAATAAGTATCCCTCAAACATGTGCCATTGATATATTCTCAGTCTGCAAATATAATTTTGTATGATTGATGCAATGTTCTTATTACCCCAAATTTCTGCTGATCAAATATAATAAATTCAATTTTTGTGTTTTACCAATCAAATGCAATTTTCACCAGGGTTGGTTAATATGTGATGATCCTGCTTGTTGTCATCGCACTCGAACAGTTCCAATGATCTGTGACAAACAAGGACCAGTTTGTCCCGCTTGTTATAAAGGAATACTTCGACTTGAGGTAATACATGCCAAGTTTACTGTTAAATTGATTTGATTTTCAACTTTTCAAAAGAAACATTCCTTAATTAGTATTTGCTATTTTTGTAAAAGTTTGCAGTCCAAATGTTTTCTTCGAACTTTGATTATGACTACTATAAGACTTGTGACAAATACTAATATGTATGTATTATACCTACAATAATAATCACAGGCTTAGTCAAACAAAGGAGTAAAATTTGACAAAAGTTTTGTCTTATCAGAAATATCATCATCCACTTATATCCTAGAGATCTCTGGTATTTCCATAATTTTATCGTTCTGATAAGGATTTTATAGCATCATGGTTACAATAACAAAATTACTGAGATCCTTTGTACAGTCTAGCTCAGTAAAAACATTATGTCATGTTTTTTTCGGAAAATTTTGATGACTCATATCTATAGGTGATTCAAAAATATGTCTAAAAACTTACATCCCACTTGGTATTCTATTGAATATCCAAGTATGTTGTGCGGCTCTTCCAGAGCATGCCGATTTGAAGGTGCAGTTGTTAAACCATAATCTTGTTTTATTTTAGTTCACATACAAACGATTGTTCCAGCAATTATGTTTTTACAAACTGCAATTTGATGTTGATTATGCTTTACACAAGTATAAACAGGATCCGAACAGTAAGTTCACTTTATTTTGGTTGCAATGGATTTGATATTCTCCAGGTGTGAACTGTTTTTTGGACACAATGTGTAGCTATAAATCATTTTGTCAAATTGTTGATGGGTAGTTGTGAAGAAAACTTGTGAGCCAATTTATCTCACTGTGGAATCTCGCAAGCTAGTCCATCTTTTTTTTGGCAAATATGGTGCTTAGCTGAGTCCATGTAAATTACGACAAACGTGGACCTGTTTTGTAATTTTGCATAATCATCAGATTCCCGTGTAAGTAGCATAGATCACTACTTTAATCGTAGTACGTTATTGGACTTTTTTGTTCTTATATTTGAGCATTGCTCTTGGTTGCAATAAAACAGGATGAAAAACTACACCTCTCTTTCAGTTTATCATATTTTCCTCTCCTTGACAATCTAGCTGTACAAGCGTAAGTCGCTATTCCATGTATTTAGTGTGTGAGTTGCTGTAGTGTTAATGCTTATATCATTTGCAGATTCCAGTGGGGGAATACGAGTTCAAGATCATCGTGCTGCTTATCGTACTTTGTCGGAAACCGTCGACTCGTATTTGAAGCAAAGCGCATACAATCAAGTCAGTTTACCACAATTGTTTAGCTGGATGGTTCATGTCAAATAATATTATCTATTTTTTATAGCAGATCTTGTATGTTATCGGCTTATTTGAAGCTTGATGCTTATTTTTCTTTGATTAAAAATTTCTATGTGTAGTTTGTGTTCACTGCCATATTTTGTGCATTCATTGATATTTGTAAATAAAATCTATGAGATTATCATCTTTTTCTCTTGGACCTCCATCACGTCAGAAAGGTAGACGATACTCATTTGTCCCTACGAAGTCGAGCGGATCCAAACAAATCGCATGAGTGTTCTCGTGTATTTCGCTACTTCTTGATCCTGTGGCATAGTGAGTTGCATATCGCTCTTCCATCTAAGTGAGAAATAGCCGGGTTACGCTGAGTGGTGTATTTCAAAATTTTAAGAACTGGTTCTCTGTTCAATCGAAATCGAGCAATGGGTTCCCTCATTTCAAAAACAATGCCGAACGACATTACAAGAATTTAACATAAGATGATGCGAAAACTTAAGCGTCCTAACTAATGTATATTACATATTCATGGACGTAGGCCACATCAACACGATACACTTTACCTAAATCTAATACAACTTTCGAAACGCCACAATTGCTGCGATCTTAAAACGTCTAAAGCTAGAACGGGGTTCGGTGATTACCAAGACATTCCATGAATCTCATTACTGGTAACGCCTTCTAAGACCATTTGTTTTGATGACGAGCTCACATTTGGTTAAATGTCCAAGATTGGTTTTGGATTCGCTACATGAAAGTAACGGTGCGAATTCCACTGTGATAACTGGAGATTTTTTGTTTGACAACAATTTTAAAAATATGCTGAAGCCCATTTGTTAAATTGCCTCCGTCAGCATGGCTCTGAAGTTTACATGATGTCTGTGATTGTGTGGATTCCATACAATTGGAGAGAAAGGTTATTAAACTGCGTTTCTTCATGACCTTATTCTACCGATATCCACCTAATTTTCCAACTTTCTGGCTAACAACCAAACTCCTTATTTCTAATTATGGCAAACCAAACAACTAATTGTTTTGAGATGAAACATTTCTCATGCACGCGAGACTACTTTAATAACTTTTGATCTGAAATTTCAAGTATCGCTTCAAATACATCAATAATATTCGAGAACAACAACTCAAGAAGAGAATGCCGTCTAAGTGGTGTCGCGGGTCTGCGATTACAATGTTGTGTAACTGAAAACTTTTAAAATTTTGGTCAAGTATCGAAAAAAATTATTAAAATTTGTATTGCTAATAACTTCAGAATAAGATAGTATAGAAGAAAGTGATTTTATGATGAATACTGTTCCTGAGCAAATAGAAACATAGCTGCCGTCGAATTTTTCTCAAGTGTCTTCCACAACAATTCATATTTGTTATTACATCATTCTTAACCAACGGGACAACTAAACGAATGTTATTAAATGCTGATTGAAAAAACTATTTCTACCAGTACATCAATCATCCGAACTTCAAAGGAACCGTTTCTTATACAAAGTACTTGAGATATTTATTTATCACTGGGCAACAAAGAAATATAGTCGGATTGTTTATTGCATCCATGCGATGTTAATATCTCACACTTACAGTATTCATTTGTTAGAAGTCATTTATTAATTTATTCTTAAAATGAAGTTGTATACTGTTCTGTTGATAGAGTTAATTTTTTGAAATTGAAAACCCAAAAGCAATTGCATATCCTATTGAAAAGAGAACTGTCATGAGGGAAAGTCGATAAAAACGCGTGTTAAATAGTCTGCCAGTCTAACTTTCCAATGAGGGAAACCTTATCGACCGTCGAACGCTAATCGCATTAAAACGTGGACAATGTCGACTTGGACTTGCTTCACATGTTCATGCCAAACGAAATTCGACCCGTTGTCCTTGCGAAGGCTAATGGACAATGCGATGATGTCTAATATTTAATATGACGATTTAAGAAACTAACCATTCTATTATGATTTTATCACATGTAAATTACTTTGTTTTTATAAAGAAATCAAATTGAATTATGAAGTGTGAGTTGGCGCCAAAACATGACGCAAGTTTCTTCAGTGACTGTGAATAGGTCAAGAAATACTTGAAGAACCGTTTGGGAACTCGGATTACTAATAGTATTCAATTAGAGAATTCCCGATTTCGTCATCCGCCGTAGTTGTTATAAATATAATTATGAAACCTTCCTGATGAACCCATCCTGATGCGAGCTATAATAAACTTGAGAATGTGATTTTACTTGTTCGGATGATATTTAGTCAAAATTTCGTATTATTCAGAAGGGTGAATTTATAAAACAAAGTTACACGTAGTCACGATTGTGCCTACTTACACCCCTGCCTAAATGTTTCGAATCGAGAGAAAATTCGAATGATTGAAAACTAAATATTTATCACCAAATGTTAACTTCTTTGGTCAGCTCATAATAATTTAAGACCATTTGTTTTGGACAGAACATGATTAAAGTTCATTACATGCTAATCAACATCTTAACAATACATATTTAACAATAATTCTTAATATATAAAACTTGAACGTTGAAAGTTAATTTTTTTGTTTGAGAAATTGTTATAAAGAGAACTTCAATTAAATTTAGGTTTTCTTCTGTGTGGTCGTTTTACACAATTTATCAATACAAAATTCCGGATTCTTGTTACGTTTTTACAATAAAATTATCGCCCAATTTTCCGTTTCAAGAGAGTAATTAATGGTAATCTCGAAAACCTTTTGGCACCCCATTGGGCGTGTCGGCGGGTTGTCTTTCCTGTCAAATGCGATTACGCAAATCACGATCTCCTGACAAAAGCATTGCCACCAAACTGTGGCGTGTTTTTGCTTCGCTTCGGCGCTTTCAAGGTGATGTCTTTTCCGATTTTTTCATCCGATTGGGGCCGATTATCATGTAATCCCTTTGCTCGGAACAAGCTAATTGACTTCAAGCAGAGCTGTTAAACTGAAACTGTTAATTGCTGGGCCGAGTATGATCACTTATCAGCAAACCGCGAGCGTGACTTATTCACGGATGAAAGTTAGTCCGATAATATTATGACATTTATGTGCTATAATAATAATATTAATGAACTAGACAATAACTGTAAATAAAACATTATAACAATAATTTTATCGATCGATTCATGGATAAAATTGGTAGCTATTCCAGTGCAAAATCTTACTTTTTGATCCATTTGTACCATCAAATGTCATAAGAAGTGGAACGAACGAAGTGAATAATTTTTGCCTTACGATTATCGAGGATTACTTGGATGGCGAATACTGATGATTGTAAGACATTTGGTTGCGTGAAATACGATATTATACGGGTGTCGTGTTATAAAAAAAAGATCTTACATATTCTTGAAAATTAAAGTTTGTGCCAATTGGAGACGATACGGTAGAACAAACTATAACAGTATGAGCAACATAGTAGGAGATAATCGTAAATTAGTTACTGATGAAGCACCCCCGACTATGCATGATGAGGACAAAGGTGCGACTGTTAATACTCGGACTTAATTGGAAGGCTTTATTTGATTATATATTTGTATGTATGAATGTTTGCCGTAACCAATTGAGTTCAACCCCATAAGCAATAAATAGATGACTCTACATACATACAGCATAACGATCATAACATCAACAAATTTGTTTTGTGCAAAACTTTAGATGTTTTTTATAAAATTTTCAATGCTCAATTTCGAAACAACCTACGACTTACAAGATGCAACAAGTTGGATAGGCAAGGCCGATACAAAAAACTTCGATTCTCTAATAAAATTAAAAGCTCATTTTGTATCAATGGATGCATAGTTGAGACGTTAAAACACTTTATATAAATATTAAAGTGTTACATATATATACTAGAATTGCAGCAACCCGCCCTATAAGACAGATGTTTACTGAAAATAATAAATATATGAAACACTTTAACAGTATTTAACAGCAATGAAATATTTCAGCAAATTGGGTCAAAAATAGCTCTTAATTTTGCATGCAGACACAAATCTAGCATATGTGAATTTGGGGATAAGCCTTCGTTTCTCCGTGTAAAATCAAATCCAAAGGTAATGAAATCAAATTCGCGACATCCTATCAGAATTTGTTGAACCGAACATGATGGAATAGAACGAAATGAATCAATGAGTAAATTAAAATTCCTGAGAGATTTACCAAAAATAGTAGTGGTTAAAGGTTTTCAAATATTCATTTTTGTCACACAAAGTGGATTGTAATTTTATTTTATACTGTGCATGAAGTTTCACACGCAATTCCAAGATTATAATTATTTCCGCGAACTCTAGCTTTATTGTGCTGTCAAGCTTTCTCCAACAGCGTTCTGAAGTGTTTGTCGCACGAATAAATCTATACAAAGCTGGTGATAAGCACTAGGTAAACTCTCTGAACTACACAGAATTTCTTCCACATCTATGTGAGGAATCATGTCTTTACTCCGAGAGAGTTTATTTTTTCAATAACCATTCTTCCGGTTGCGGTTGAGTAAAATTCAAACATATATTTTTCTGACTGTAACAACCAAGTATTTAGATTGAAATGAAAACTCGATTGCTTAATTTTTTTGTTTACTGAGATTTAACTGAGGGTCCTTGAATCACAAACAATATAATGGTCAAATTGGCATTTAATAGGGAATTGTAACATCGCCTTTGACTTCATAATCAATTTTACCATGTTGATAAATGTTGCGCAAAAGACGTGTCAAGAAAACGTCATCCCGTCTAAACATTGTAGCAAAAAACTTGTCGCCAACTCAAGTATTATTCTCAACATATTCTAATAACCAATTGTGGATTATTTTATAACATAATGGAAAAATAGAAAAAACAATATGGCCGATCCCTATGCCAAAACTCACATACGGTTTGCCATAATACCCTTTTCCCACTTGGCAATTGTTGCTTTATTTTATTACTTACTATTAAAAGTCGGAAAATGGTGCTATTGGTAAGCATTTACCAATAAGAAAACGTTCACAGTACCCAAGTAAACGAGCTTAATCATTGTTCGGACATTCGACAGCATTGAATTTAATTACCCTCTTACATCCTATCGGAAACCTCTCGACCGTGAGGAATATAATAATGCGTGTTATAAGAGAATCACGTTAAAGCATAAAAACACCACATTCATTCCTGAGGGACACATCAAATGGGATTCATGGAATTTCTTAGGGATAACGACCTTAATGCAAGTTATATTGATCATCATAACCCTCGTATTTTCTAAGAACTGACTTATTATTTTATATCATTAAAACAACTTTGAATAATAAACTTGAATACAATATATGACATTTTTACAAAAGTGCATGCGTAAAATTTTAAGTAGCCAATATAATAAAAGAAATGTGCTAATTGTTGTTTCTTTATATTGGCAATGTTCTCAAAATGGTTCGAGTAATCGCTTCTCATCGCATCATTATTTCGAATTCTACCGACGCTATTGCGCCTGTTCAACGAATGAGATTGGGGTTTCAAAATATTATATCTTATTTAGATTCGCTGATTTATTTACATTGCAATATTCAAAATAGAATATTTGAAATCCACAAAGAGTGACACTACTTTCAACCGTATATAATAAATAAGATCGTATATTTGTAACTTGTCCGAAGGGAAGAAAATATCTGATGGCGGTTTATTCCTACTGCGTTAACCTGCAACGATTAATCATACACGCTTGCAGAACCCATCTTTCCCGTAGCTAATATAATTTACCAGCATCCGCACTGTAGGATTTTCTCTGCGGCAATTAGCGAAGTACCTGCTTTCATTCACCTGTGCTGCCTAATATTATGTAAATCACTTCCCTTTGTCATCATTAGCTAATTGTCACATTAACGTTGATCCATGCGTAATATTTTGTAATACCACTATTATGTTTTCTATCAAATTACCCAATATGTGTTTGGTCACGCAACAGTTTCGCCAATAAATTTTTATCGATGCATACTGAAATACTCCTTTGGTGATCAACTTTTAGTGTTAGTCAAAACAAAATGCAGTGAAGTTTAGGAAGTTGAAAACGCGAGGTTTTATTGAAATAAAAAATAAAATTTATGTAAAATTCACTGGCTTTACTTCCAGTGTCTTATTGGCCACCAATATTTTCTGTTATATAACTTAATTTCCTATTCATATCTCAAATTACTGATAGAAACTCTGAGCAGATATGTGACAAATCGAAAATCTCTACATTAGAGGGGAAAATGATGTAATAGCTGGTATTTATATTTCTTCATTTTCTAAACTAAGAAATGTCCAAAATATGCAAATGAATGGCATTGTTTCAACTTACTACATAACACATTATTAAAGAGATATAAAATGATAATATTAAACCTTCTGTTCGGTGTGCAACTCAGAGTAAACCATAGAAAACAGATATTGAAACCAATATGCGAAATAATAAAAGGATTATTGATAAAATTTCGAAAAAGTTCATAGACATAGGCAAGAACACATATGATGATTCTTGTTTTAAAAAAAAAAAGAATTTTCAGATATTGAAAATACCTTCACCGCGCATAGAGCACCATGAAATTATATATATCTGTTTCAGCTAAATAGGATTTTTACTGGAGTCCGTTCGACTTGTTAACAAAAAATTGGGAAATCTCTATGAATACAAAGGGGATAATCGATCAAAACTCAAATATTAATTAAAGACTAGTTTACCAATTCAAAAACTTGAATTGTTCCATCATTTCCATGTTAAACACATGATAACAATATGAACATTCCGCTAATACAGAAGGCCCTTAACAAATAAGATCTCTTGCTCCCAAACGAGAGAAGCTCATTCCCGCTGTGAGCGAAACGCTTAAAACTCGAAAAAAGATCTGCCCACTTTTGAAATACAGCACTCCAAATTTTCTGTACATTTTGTTAGACAGTTCATTATCGCCTTGCCATTATCGCTTTTAGGTGTCTTACTAGGACAGAGAGGAAATCCAGAAATGTTTTATTTACGTTATTATTTGGAAAATAAGACTTGTAATATAGTATATTAGAACTTATTAGGGGCATACTACTCGTATTTATCCTGCTTCAAAAACAAGAAAATAAAATTTAAATTCAATGAATTTGCTTTCTATTATTAGTCGTAGGACAAGTCATTTATGTTGTTTATCTAGACTTTAGAGCAAGGAATAGTCTGAATTATTCATTTAACTAACGCAGAACAAACCAATTCCATATCCATTTTCCCCCCATATCAATTGGATTTTCAGTAATTATTTGTTGATATGCGATATATGAAGCAAAATATTTTGTACAGAAGATATTGTTTATTTATAAATTGATTGCATTTATTTGAAACAGATCATACGTTTTTAGCTTTTTACGATCCAAAGTAGAATAAAATTGCAATCATATCAATTATCGGTACAACAATAAACGACGCGAGGCTGTTAAACGGCCTTTATTATTTGACATCAACATTATTTTTGCAAAAAAATTAATGATGGCTTCTCCAAGTACGATGAAATCAACGTATTCGATCGAACATCTGTTAGCTCGTCATCATCACCCTCATTGTCATTCATCTTCTTCATCATCAGGACTCGGAAACTCCAGAAGTTTCTCCACTGAAGAAATGCAAATTGCTGACATAAAAATCTCATCTGGTAAGAAATTGTATCATTTAATAAGTCAAGATGACTAAAGTACAGGCGTGAAAAGCGTATTTAAATTGAAAATTTGTAAAGATATTTATAGAATAGGATATTTAATATAAAAAAAAAATTTTGATTCATATTTAGAAATCTCTATTTGGAAAATAAATAGAAAACACTATTATCACAGCGCGATTTACACAGTGAAATTATATATGTGTATTACAGAATGTATTTTTTTCAGATGTTGTCAATGTTTTCAACCCTAAATATTTTCCATCTTTGATAAAAACTTTAGACTTTACTTTGAATAGTGATAAAAATGATGAATGAACTGAATTTAATATTTCAGCGAAACTGTCACCAAGTAAAATGGACAGCGATACGGGCTCAGAGCGAACTTCAAGTCGCGAAGAATCGGAGTTAAGCGCTGGGGTACAAAACAAAAATGGCGGACCAGCGAACGCAGCGCGAATAGAATTCCTCGCCAGTGACAACATCATTCAAGATTCAGTTACCACAGATCTTCAATTTCATCAATATTACAAGAACTTATTGAGAAACGCAAGTGGAAATCAAAAACTGGCATCGTTGTTCTATCCCATTCTAGATCCAAGTTTCGGAGATGAAAACGACACATCGAATGCACGACTTCCCTCAGAGATAAAATCAAGTAATGAAAAGGCTTCAGCAGACAGTGATTGCCTTTCAGATTCAACAGACCCAAGATCTCCACAAGGTGTATTATCAAGCACTGAAGGTGGACTGCTAAAAACAATCCGTGTCAAAAGCGAGAGTTTTCCAGATGACGAACGCAGTAATGCTAAAAGTCCAATTTCCTCAGATCGTGGCTCGGAATCCGACCTCCAGCCAGGAGACATGAAATCAAATACAGATGAAACTTGGAAAACAAACGACATCACACCAAGTAAAAATGTCCATGAAAATACAACAATGCCGACAACATCGACGCATTTGACGTCGCCAAAAAGCGGAAGTTCAGCCGAAAAGCGTAAGCAACGCCGATACAGAACAACTTTCTCAGCGTATCAACTGGAAGAATTAGAACGTGCCTTTCAAAAAACTCATTACCCGGACGTGTTTACCAGGTATTCCTTCAATTTAATTTGTTCGGAAAATTCGTAAATATCACAAAAACAACTTAAATTATATTCTTTAATCAGAGGTTGAAAATGGCACTTTCATTTTTTTCAGAGAAGAATTAGCTATGAGAGTTGACTTGACGGAAGCAAGAGTACAGGTACTCATATTGATTATATAGTGAAATAGTTATATAAAAACTATGATGCTCAAATCACATTGACATGTAATATTAAATCATTATTGCTATCCTGGTTTAGTTAGATATTTGGGCTGCGTAAACAAACGAATAGAGAATATTGCCGGATATTCGAATGTCGGATATTGTTACTGGTACGAACATTTAACGGCGGTACAGTCTTTAGCAATATAATAACGTTATTTCGTCTCATATTGTTTTAATAAGTAACTTTGTTATGGATTAAGCCTACATCTCACATGAAAAATCATTTTTAGGATAATGGTTCAAATGCTACATAAAAATATCGCATCATTTACGATATTGTTTGCAGGTTTGGTTTCAAAACCGGAGAGCGAAGTGGAGAAAGAGGGAAAAGCAAGGCGGTTTGTTCGGAACACCATTTGGCGGGAACGGGATCCTGGGACCTTACCATCCATTGCATCTTTACACGGCTAATAGAGTTTTATTAGATCCTACTTCTATTCATCACCCATTTATACATACGTCGGAACACGAAAGATTTCGTTCATATCATAATTTTCTTCAATCTGATGTCCCCGTGGCAAAAGCACCGATACCGACGTTTCCCGTGCCGTCTTGGAATCCGATAGCTTTTGCTGCCGCTACACTGGCATTACAAAAACCGAGAAGTCGGGCGTTACATGACCTTATTTCCCTATCTAGAGAAAAATATCCTGCAGGAAGAGTGCCAAACATCTCGACAACGCATCCGGATATTTCACGAATGCAACAATTTCAAACCCACGCAACGAACAATCTACTGTCACCCTCGAGACTCTCTCAAGCGGCAGCTATGTCGTACATAAATCCAATGGTTCTTCCTCAAATGTTTGGCATGCTATCAAATAAAAACGCCAACTCAGGAAGCCATACAGAGGGAATTGGGTGCAATAAACCATCGCCTGATTTACCTGACTTCAAATCAACACACCGACGGTCTTTGGAAACCACGGGTAGCTCCCCAGAACTTATGTCACGTGAAAACGTGTACGAATTTGTTGCCGGATCGTCTTTACTCGAAAAAGCAAGAAAATGAAGTTCAGAATGGATTTGTGCAGAAGCATGCTCCATAACAGCGCGGTTCCAATCATCAAATTACAAAGTAAAGTTGAAACTTTTTTTTTATAATCAATCATATTTTTAACTCACTGCCACTTCCCTGTAGAATTTAATCATTTTGACAAATGAACAGAATGTTCTGTGAAACGCAATACTTTTTTCGCTTTCGCTAATTAATTTTATACTTACATTCAGCTTATGTGATCATCTTTATTTTTGAAATTAAATGTGTCAACACATCAGTCAGTTCAATACATAAATTTATCAGATTTCATATTTGCAAACCACCACGTAAGCCTTGTACACAGGACTATAAAATATGGCTATATGTACTGAATATAAATTGCAGCAAAATATCATAAACTTTGACATGGTTTAGACTAAATCTTTGGTGTTGAAATGGGCCTTTCGTGGGAGAGAAATAAATCCATTGCAATAAAGAGATTGGGGTTCTATCTGAAAACATTACATTTGCATACACTGCTAAAAGTGGACGCTTGCTGGAAATCATATATTATCGCATAATAAATATGAAAGTCGAATATTCACAGTAGTTCTGTAAAAAAAAATTTTTGTACAAAAGTCACGTAATGGGACGGACGGGTGTGAGTTTGCTGTGAGTTTCGCAAATTACTGCTGTGATATATATATCCCTTCAATATCCATTTAGATCAGGCCTGCACAACGTACGGCCCGCGAGCCTCCCTCTAAGTCTACACCTTTGGATGCGTCCTGCGACACGACTTGAAAAAATATTCACAGATGTAATGCTCAGTAAGCGAGCTTTCATTTAATGATTTTACCTCCATACTTGCGCTTTTAGACATGCTTTATCATAATGGCTCATTTGTTGTTATGCGGAACTTTATATGTCATAAACATTGCAATGGCCGAAAAAAATAAACGAAAGATTGAAAATGAGAGTAGAGTATATGTCTTGTTTGCCGAAGAGTGTTGTCAGTTCCAAAAGGATACAACAGACAGTCAGAAGTCACCCCGACTTTGTTAATTTAGACCCGACTGAAAGGAGACTTGAAGCGAAAAGACTGTGCGGCACTCTTCGCTCCGAACAGAAGTTTTTCAGCCTTCAGGCAATTAAAGTGTCAGTGTAACCAGGGTAAGTTTCGAAATATCAAGAGAGATTGCTGCAGTCGGAAAAGGTTTCACAAAAGAAGAATCCATGAAAAATACATGCTGTGTGCAGTTCCGTTAATTAGCCCCAAAACATGCGCCTTTCACGCCCAACGGTCCAATGTAGAATTGAGGGTATCGCGGAGCACTTGATCAATCATCTACATCAGAAAGCAAAAGTATTTTCTTGTTATTGTCTGGCTGTTAATGAAAATACAGATTGTACTGATGTAGCCCAAGTCTTGGTATTTTTAAAATGTGTTGATGATAATTGAAACATACCGAGGTGCTTGCTTGAATGCAGTCTATGAAAGGTAGAACAACTGGAAAATAAATTTGCAGTGAAATAATCAGCGCATGTTCACTAAACGCCGTAAGTACTTCTAGTTGGCGTGGCACAAACAGTTTTGCATATAGTACTGTATTTCTAACCTCCACCTGGATACGTCATTCAAAAAATACGTCACTACGACGTCACAATCACGCCATAGAGCTTGCCAAAGAAAAGCTACGATCGCCCGAAATGGCATCTCCGCCGACGATAGCGAACTCGCTAACGCCAGCCATTCCTCTCATATTTGAGGGAGGAATGTTACGACGAGAAAACTAGCTTGCTTGATTTCGGCTGATTGTCTGCGCGTTTTAGAGTTAGACGACAATCCGTATACTTTAACGGGCCTGATTTCTTTTTTTAGCCTTGTTAATACCATCCAATATAAGCGGATGTGATGAATCGGGAGCCTCGCGGTGGAAGTCATGCTGCGTCCTGTACGCGGTATGTACGGAAGCCGGGTAGCGGAAGTTGTGCTGTGCCCCGTATGGCATAGGCGGAAGCCTTGGGTGAAAGTTATGCTGTACTTCACATAGCATATACAAAAACCCCGGGGCGAAAGTCTGTGCTCTTTTGGTGCATGGCACATACCGAAGCCTCCAGAAGTAGATGACTACTGCAAGCAGTAATATGCTTACGAGGCGATATACCTTTATGGCTCGGATATGACGTGTCTCTAAGACACTGATCCGAGTTTGAAAAAAAATTTCTGATCCGCAAGAAAATTAAAAAAAAAAGGGGGGGCCTTATTTCGTCACTGTGACGTTGTAGTGAGGTAATCAGGTGGGGGTTAGAAATAACATAATGCAAATATGATTATGCCACGCTAACTAGAAGTACTTGACGGCTTTCAGTGAACTAGGCCCCGATCCCGTCTGATGTTGACTGAATTTAATAACATGCCCCAAAAAATTGCCTTGAACCAGTATCATGCAGCGCCTGTTGTGTATTCTAAAACAGAAAGAACACAGTACTGTACATGCGCAAAATACGATATACAGGATTTGAGTCAGGGCAAGCCCAATGGAGCACATTATGACGTGACACACGAGTTTCGCCGCTGCCAAGGCGTGGAAATAAACGTGTCAAATATTGTGTGGATTGACTGCAGTATGCGAAAGTTATGGTCTCACTCTAAGATCAGTGTGATAAATTTCATTCGCAACGATAGCATTGGCAAAGAATGCCCAATTTTTTCTAATTTTAAGCGAGCGAAGAATTGGAAAATTGTAAATTAGATACTGGTATTTGAGCAGTCATATAATATTTATGGTTTGAGAATATTTATTTTTCGCGTTTAGATAATACATGGATACTTGGCAAGGTTTTTTGAGGGAATTTCAACATTTATGACTAAAAATTAGGCAGGCTTTAGATCTGAATTGATAATTTGAATAAATAATGAAACATTTATCGCGACCAAAAGCAAGTTGGCCACCCCTGGACTATACCAATACAAAGGTATTCCTGAAGTATGCGCACCAGGATGTCGCATAATCTGAACCCTAACCTGGTACACAATCTGAGTTCAGGTTGTGCGCCATGTTGGTGCGCATACTTCAGAAGGTTCAATACAAATCTATCAGAGCAGTCCGAATGTTTGATTGGAGTATGCACTGACGGTACCCCAGCTATGTGCGAAAAGAAAATTGACCAGTTTCTCTGCTGCAGGAGTGTGATATTTCTCAAGTGAGACATCAGGGGAAACAGGAGTCAAACACACTCAACAAATCAATTTGCTCATTGAAGAGTTTGACACCAGACTTTCGCGAGTGAAGAAAAATTGCAGCTGAACATAATCGAAAACCCATTTTGAATAGATTCAGACAAGTTCGTTTACATTTAGAATTGGGAATCATTGATTTGCAGGCCTGATCTGCATATAAAAGAATGCCCGAAGAGAGCAGTTTGCTAGAATTTTACAAGTGTTTGCTCAATTTTAAAAACCTTCTGGTGTTAGCAAGACAAATGTTCAGCTTATTCTGAAGCACCTACATATGCGAGCAAATCTTGTCGGTTTTTGTCTTGTCGGAAAAAAACAATCAGCGCTCTTCCATCACTGATCGTAACTTAAAAAATATTTTGAAAAAATTTTAACTTCAAAGATTATTCCCATTTATGACGAACTTGTTGTCGGCAGAAAATGCAACATTTCTCAATAAATACTGGATATTTGTGTCAATTTGTTCACGTGTTACATTGTATATTATGTTACAATTAAAACATCACATCATAGTATATTTCAGTGGCGGCGCGTGGTCATTTTGACAACCGTGGCAAGCTACTGCGGGACCAAGTCACCCCCATCTACGGGGACAGGATGAGCGCTGTAAGTTCTCCCATCATTTTATGAGTATAAAAACCATTCCATCGGTAACAACCAATCGGCAAAAGCGACAATTTTTGACGATAAAAAAGTGTCTTTAAAACCGGTCCAAGTCAAGGTATTAATAAATATAGACATAGTTTATTTTGAAACCTCTTTCAAAAGGAAAGGCAATATTTACCCAGATAAATACAATGACATATTAACAGAAACTTCGGGAAAGCAGACAAAACCTAAAATAAGGTTTAAAACGTTACTATGAAGAAAGGAAAGTTAATGCAAAGATAAGGACGTGCGTCGCTCACTCATAGATATATATGCTGCTAGACTTCTACTGCTTGAACATCAGTAGCGGCGCGTGGTCATTTTGACAACCGGGGCAAGCTACTGCGGAACCAAGTCACCCCCATCTACGGGGACGGGATGAGCGCTGTAAGTTCTCCCATCATTTTATGAGTATAAAAACCATTCCATCGGTAACAACCAATCGGCAAAAGCGACAATTTTTAACGATAAGAAAGTGTCTTTCAAACCGGTCCAAGTCAAGGGATTAATAAATATAGACATAGTTTATTTTGAAACCTCTTTCAAAAGGAAAGGCAATATTTACCCAGATAAATACAATGACATATTAACAGAAACTTCGGGAAAGCAGACAAAACCTAAAATAAGGTTTAAAACGTTACTATGAAGAAAGGAAAGTTAATGCAAAGATAAGGACATGCGTCGCTCACTCATAGATATATATGCTGCTAGACTTCTACTGCTTGAACATGTATGCAACACGCCGCGGTTTCTTGGAAGCAAAATGCTCAATAACGCGCTGATTAAAGTCATTCATCCCAGAAATAACGTCTCTGTGAATGGATAAAACAGCCAAGGTATTTAATCTATCTTGCTTCATTGTGTCTTCATTGTTCATTGAGATACGTTTTAATACGCTTCAGCGTGCTGAATGTTCGCTCTGCGTCGGCGGAAGAAATAGGCGTCGTCAAAATGATGTCCAGAAATTTTGCAGACGCCGCAAAGGTAGTTACTAGAGTGTTATCTATGAGGAACCCATAGAGCGCGCAAGTTGATGTGATGTTCAAAAAAGTTTGATTGGTGTATATACATCGCAATTCATTTTCCAATTTACCCACGTTTATCATGGGGTAAAATTTGGAGACAGTAGCCAACAAATGGATGGGAAATTGACGTGCAAATTTTGAAAAATTTTTGGGGTTCATCAAAGAGAACGCGGCAAGGTGTTCAGTGCGCAGACGATTGCCTATTTGATTCACCAGAATGTCACAGCATTCCTTTGCAGACAAAATCAAACGCTGCGTTGTTTGCCCGCGGCGTAAAGAAGCACTCCATGTGTCGTCGTATTTTATTGTTTCCCGGATACGAGATACAGCATCGCAGAAGTCTGAAATACACGACTGCACAGACGCTCCAACCATTAGCCTTGACTGCAATGCGCCGTATAATACATCCACGTGATAGAATATTGTGGAGAAAAAAGCGAGAAAAAATGAAAACTCATCATCTTCTAGCAGACGCTTTAGACCTGCGTTCGTCCCAAACCGGAGAGCTCTGAATGCCATTGAAACACTCAATGAGCTCAGACCTAATTTCGGACACGCCCTGCACCACGCGTGATTGGAAGTTTCAACGTGTTGGTGCACAAGCTGGGAGACGGCGGCTACATATCTGGCGAAGGAGGTCAGAGCGTTTCGGCGAAACGGAAAAAAATGAAGAAAACCCCGAAACATTTGCAAAAAATATACGGACGAGAGGGTATCAAGACACATATTTTTAATAACGAGGTTAAATTGGTGTGCATAACAATGTAAAAAATGCGCATGAGGAAAATCTTCTTTTATATAAACTTGAACACCATGTTTCGACCCACTCATGACTGCCGCGCCGTCATAAGTTTGAGCTATCAATTTTGACTTCGCGTTGTAGGGCTGTAACACTTCTTTCAGTACAGCCGATATCCCGCAAGCCATGCGATCAACGATTGGTACAAAGCTGTGAGTCGGTAGGTTTACCATCTTTCACAAACCGAAAAATCACAGCCAGTTGGGAAACGCACGTGATGTCAGTTGTCTCGTCAGACTGAATCGAAAGGAACTGGCAATTCTCAATTTCCAGAGCCAAATGTAAAAAATTTTTATACATTGAGTGAAGCAAATCATTTTGGATATCCTTAGATGTCCCTTTCGAAACAGTTGCGGCATCAAGATGATCTCTCAATACTGTATCTAGGGATGCGGTGTATTCCACCATATCCAAAAATACCCCTCTATTAGAAGAGCCAGCCCGTTCATCGTGCCCACGGAGGGACAGCTCGTGACAACCAATGAACTTCAAAATATCTATCAATCGACCGAGAACATGGCGGTTTTTCTCGACGTTTTGGTTGTGCCGACGAATAGAAACCGCGCGTTCTTCATCCAACTGTGCTGCAATATTAACATTTCCGAATGTTCGGTATTTTACTGCATTGTCCAGATGCTCCATAGAAGATTGATGATCCCTGGCACGCTCGGAAAGATGTTTAAGATCTCTAAAACCAAGTTTACACCAACGTGAGTCACGGGCGGTAGCAAAAAGTAGGCAATAAAAACAAAAAAGTGCATTTTTGTCTTCGCTGTAACACAACCATTCGTGTTTTTTATACCAAGTTTCTGCGCAGAATGTACGCCGACGCTTTCCTCCGTCATGGGATTGTTCCAGTGAACAATTTTTTGGTTGATAAGGCCCAAGACGTTGTACCTCTAATTTTTGTTCCAGCGGCAGCTGCGAAAACGGAGTGCGAAGTAGTGTAATCAGTAGTTTATTTTTTCACCACACATGAAATACACTAAATGCATACGGAATGTAAAAGGAAGCAAAAACGGATAATTCGAGGTGAAAGGAGTCGCGAAAAACAAAATTGGTTATCGAGCGGCGACACCTGAGCTAAAGTCTAATAAATGAATCATAAAACAATGAAAAAGTCAAACAATGAATAAAAGAATATAAAGAAGTGAAAAATCGAGACGACCTGAATCCAAGAGACGCTCGAGACACAGAAAAGCAAAACCAAAAACGACTCCAAGCACATATGTGCGAGTAACTATGGGAACGGCGGCAGGAATGCAGTACAGTGCGATGACAGGATACCGGTACCGAACCGATATCGCAGCGTTATGGAATTGATAGTTATTTAAACAGATTTTAAATATATCCCGGTAGGGATATTATGCCGATAACACGGCGTAATCATAGTTATAAATGTTTGCCAAGAGTTCGAATAAGATTGCAAGTGCTGGGGTGCAAGAAGATTGCAAGTGCTGGGGTAAGTCGAATCGTCATTAATACATTTCAGATAAAAATTATTCTAATCTGTGAAAAACAGGTTAACTCAACAAAGTAGATGGGGGTAACAATAAATAGCGTTGTAAATTAGTAAGCATACCGCTTGGAATCGTTGAGAATATAGAATGAACACGATATGTGTATGAACAGATGGATGAAATACCCACTGCAGCACTGAGTATCAACAGTGCTATATATATACAAATTTCGAAAATGCAACAAAGCACAATAATAATAAAGTGGTAAATATGATAGCTTTTTACAAAAATATATACGAGATAGTTATTAAATTGTATTTGGTGAGAGACCAATATCAAGGATCATGAGTGTAGAACTGTTGAAAGATACTGCTAACACTATACGATTAGGCTATGAGCAAAATTGAATTACCATTGTATGACAAATGGCCATACAGTATAATATAGTGCAGAGCATGCACTATAGAAGTAGATGATAATAAAGAAGCAACTTAAAATTTACATGAAACATTCAGATTCACTTATTACAGGTACTGTCGACTCTGGGAGGTTGTGGACCTAGTCAAGTATTCTGCTGGCAGTGCCGAGGGAAAGTCAGTAAGCACATCAAACAGATGTGCTGGAGAAAGACAGGTAGGATGAAAGCATGAATTTTTTATATTTTATTTTGAAAGTAGCATATGTGGAGTCACGTAAACTTTGGGGAATGTTATTCCAAATTATTACGCCTTTGTATTTCAGGGAATTTTGAGATTTGCTCAGCGAAAAGCGAGGTACAAAAAGATTGGATTTGGTCGAAGAGCGTGTGTTGTGTTCATGCACAGAGGTAAGCGAAACAAAATAATTGTCGAACGCTGTGGGCAAGTAATTATTCTGAAATTGGTGCATAATTTGGGCAATCTCTAGAGTATAAATGTCGGATAGTTTCAACACCCTGGTTTTATGGTAAAGGGTGTTTAAGTTTGTACGAATAGACGCTCTGGAGAGAGTTCTAACAGCTTTATTCTGTAAGACCTCCAATTTGTGAATGTTGGTTTGTGTTGCAGAGCCCCATGCAGTTATAGCATATTGGATGTGGGATTGAAAAAGAGCAAAATAAATGGTTCGCAGGGTAGCATCCTGCACATAATGCCTAAGTTTTCCCAAAATCCCAGCAGACCTTGACAATTTCTTGTGCATCTCGGTAATATGAGTGTTCCATTTTAAGTTACTATCTATATAGAGCCCGAGATATTTAAAGGATTGAACAACTTCCAAAGCAACCCCCCTGATTTTGATTAACATATTGGAATGTTTTTTAATTGATTTAGGACTGAATAGCATGACTTTAGATTTTTTTACGTTCACAGTGAGTTTGTTGCATAACATCCACTCAATTATTTTATCTATTTCAGTGTTCATAGTATTTGGGAGCGTGGTTGAATCTTTGGCACTGGCAAGCAAGCAAGCGACATCGGCGAAGAGTTTTGTTAAAAGATTCGAACAGTTCGACAAATCATTTATGAAAAGTAAGAAAGCCAATGGTCCAATGACCGAACCTTGGACAATTCCACAGTGGATGGGCAACATCGGAGACCTATGACATCCTACTTCAACAAACTGTGATCGACCACTCAGGTAATAGGCAACAGGTAGTGCATCAACCTTATACATTATGAGGTCTAAGGCTAAGAAATGCGAAGCCGGAAAGAAGTGAGGAGCTCAAAAAGAATGTGGAAAATCGAAAGCAAATGGACTAAATGTCTCTAACTGATTCAAATAGCGAAACAAGCGACAAAAACGAAGGCGAGGAAACTACCAACTCTTCAAGCAACCAACGAACGAGAAGGAATGCGTGAATATGTCAACACGTTGTTGTAAGAAACGTCGGCATTGTGTCATCATAATTTCGGGGCTAGCCCCGATGATTTAGTAAAAGAAACAGAAAACAAACGAGACAAACGCGGCGAGTGGAAGATAAAAGAGAGAATACGATATACAATGAGCAACCGGGGCAAAATCGGCGTTCGGCGAAGACTTTGCGAGCGAAAAATGAACCATGTCGGGAGAATATGGCTAGTGTAGACAGTCTGTGCAACGGATATTGAGGTATTTTTCGAATATTTTTTATTATACCGAAAAAACAACCGGGGCATTGCCCCGGTTGGCCCTATTGACGCGCCGCCACTGGTATATTTCATTCTGCGACCAGCGAGTCACGTGAATTGTTTGTTGCGGACCTTCCGTTGTTTTGTGTTGTGCAGGCCTGGTTTAGATCAAAATTGATATCACCTGATGTGTAAATAGGACTGGGAATGGTTAACCGATTTTAGATGGTTAAATTCACCCGTGTTTTCCCTGAAAGCGCTTATTGAAATCCTTTCATGCCGGCTGTAATTTATTGCCGAACCGCACATGGCTGCCTTTGAATGCGATAAAAAGTTTTCAAATCAAAACGTGAACGGCGGCGCTAGGATATGTGCGCCATATTCGGGATTCCTATAAACACGAAAAAACGATATTCGATTTGGACATCCCTGCATGAAATTAATCTAAACAAACAAATATCACTACAGGCGTTCTATTAGTTTTCGATTTCCGTACGTAGAAAGTCTTACGTTAGTCGGAGCAATATTGAAGCAAATTGGATTTTTCGTATCCAGAGTTTCTACTGTATGTCATTTATTGTTCACCTTTTTGGTACCTGATCTTGCTGTGTCGTGATCCCCACCTAACGTTGGTTTTTGGCAAGTTCATGTCCCGAACGAATCTTTACGTTACGTACTTCGTAAGATTTATTGTAAAAACACATCAAAATGCGAATTACACTCTGTTCCCATCCTTTCACATGCACATGTCATAAATTGACTATGGTACATATCGTATCAGAGTTTTTTTTTATTTCTACATTTCATGTCAGTTGTCCTACTGGACCTACTATAACACAGCAGTCCTATCAATCAATCCTAAACTGTAGTTACACTGATTAGGTGTGCATGTCGCACATCCCTGTCTAAGTCCAGGAACATGTATTCCGTCTTTGGTATATTGTTTAATTATTATGCAGATACACATACATACTCACTTCCTCCAAATATGTAATTCCTGTCATAAGTAGGTTTGGTGAAGTAGCCCTGCCCTATAACACTAATTGTTCCCTATAACAGCAAGTGCGGGTCACAGATAATGTGTAGACTAGACCACCCTGCTCTAAATCATGCTATTATATTATTCCTGTGGTGAACAAAAGTCAGTCTTGAAAATTAACCAGAGTGCTATCAAGGAAATGCAAAATATAAGACACACTAAACCAGACAGTGGAGCAGCACAACATACATTGAAGGAAAAATTACAATGATTGTAAGATTTGCAATATCGAATTTCTTGGTCAGGATTTGAATAAATAAATGACAAATGGAACATAACTATTGTTTTGGATATGTTTGGATGATTGAGAAAGAAAAAAAAGAATAGAATGGCCAAGTCCTACCCATCAGTTTTTAGTTTGTTCATGTTAATTCACGTCGGCAAAGAAAGTAGTAGCACCTGAAATCATAGTTGAAAACAAGAATTCAAATAATTTAGCATATTGTTTCTCAGATTTTCATGCTGGACATTACAACCATGCTAGCCACGGCAAATGTGATTAGGGTAAGATTTTCATATTTATTCTGAGGAAGAGGATGAGTCGCTTTATCTATTTTGCTAGATGCATGTCGGCAACAAAACAAATCACCCATATAAGAAATTGAATGAACACAGAAGCAAAAAAAATTCAGTTTACATAATTCAATACCCAAATTATACCCAATCCAAGGAAAACCTATGCAATAGGAAGTGGAGTGTGAAGCTCAGGATTATCGAATATAAACTTCCTCTTCTGAGGTTTGGAACTCATTTGTGTCTTATGGAGCAGCTTAAATATTCCAGACCCAATACTCATTGGTATTCCCATAATAATACATTCTGAAACCCCTGAAATTGAATCTGATTGGCCATAGTATGAAGCATCAAAAAGATGATCAGCAGTTTTTTCAAACGATGCCAGCATAAGCACACTTTCCTTCATACGAGCAAGGCCATATCGTGTAATCCCAAGAACTTCTCCTTTGTATGTCATAAGATCAGCCAAAAGCATAAGGTGTCTGCGATCAATGCTCATGCCATGATTGACCATTGTATATTGCACTTCATTGATGATAGTTTGACGAGCAGCTTCGATTCCAAGACATTTTTCAACTTCCATTGTATTATTTGATGTTGTTTTTTCTCCATAAATTCCAGGAGTTCCGATAACGCCAGATAGATCATTTCCTTCTACGAGAAGTTTGTATTTTTTATTATCCTGTTTTTCATCAATGTGGATTACTGCCCTTGACACACCTACTAAACCTTGTACAACTACATCTGTTACCATATCTTTTAACAATTGCATGGTGTGATACATGCTGCCCTTGTTCGTGTCAGTGGGATGAATTGTGATCACATCTTTGCTTCGAATTATAACTTGATTTGGTTTGATGGGAAGATGTGATGTACATAAATTGTATCGTACAGTGTCTGCATTTACTTCCAGTTTCAACAGCCGTACTCTTGTCATAGATAGCTTTATTATTAGAAAGCAATCATCAGTCTGATAAACTTCTTCAAAATATTCACTAATTTCACCAAGTGTTGTTCGTTCGATACGACCTTTAATCTTTCTCGCAAAGTCCGAATCAGTATCATTTCGTAAATATGCAGTTATGATTGGGGTACTAATATTTTTTGAAGCATTAATGATTTCCTTGATACGAGGAACGCCTAGTGTGATATTCATAGATGCAACACCAGCAAAATGGAAAGTTTTTAAAGTCATTTGTGTACCGGGTTCACCTATACTTTGTGCACACAACGCACCAACTGCTGTCCCAGGCTCCAGCCTTGCTTTCATATATTTCTTAGAACAGACCTCGATGAAAATATTTAACTGATTTTCAGTAATTCTATCTAACTGATACAAGACAGGTGGTCGAGTTGTTCCGTTGTCATTCACACCATATCTAGTTCTTGTATCTGCAATTCTTTTTGCGATACCTTTGAGATAATTTGTCAAATCGGATTTGAAAATATCACTTAGAGATGAATATTTAGAATCTAAAATTATTTTTTCAGCTTGAGAACATAGCAATGAGCTGCTTAAGGTTGAACTATTTTGATCAGAATGTTTCGTTTTGACATACTCAAGCACACGATTAAAGTCGAGAGGTTGATCTTTCCCTTCCATGTCAGTTGGATCCAAGCCATCTCCTCCATAAATAAACTGAATGATATCTCTGGTAGAAGATCTGACAGTTAAATCATAATGTCCACATAAATCTTCCAGTGATTTCACCAATCTTCTTTGCATGTATCCGGTCTCAGCTGTCTTAACTGCTGTATCAACCAGGCCTTCTCTGCCTCCCATAGTGTGAAAAAAAAATTCAGTTGGAGTAAGTCCGGAATAAAAACTATTCTCAACAAATCCTCTCGCAGCTGGATCTTTAGAATGTTTCTCGAAATGTGGGAGTGAACGATCTTCAAATCCATTTGGAACTCTATTACCACTAATAGCTTGCTGACCAACACAAGCAATCATTTGAGAAATATTAATAAATGAACCTTTTGAGCCACAAACTGCCATAGTGAGTGGAGTATTGCTTCGATGAAGTTCCCGTAGACATGCTTTTCCAGCATGATCTCGAATAACAGATAATTCCTTTAATATGACGGCCTCCAAGGTTTGTTCCGGTGTACATCCAGGTTGAGATTGAAGCTTGCCTTGTGCTAATGCAGAGATATATTCATCACATTTCTTATATCCATCTTCCAATAAATCTCTCTTTGCTGCAAGTAGCCCTTCCCCGGGTGTGACATCACCTATTCCAATTGAAAAACCTCTGTTGCTTAAGTACACTGGGCAAACTCTCGCTAACCTCCACATTGCATCAGCTGCGGCTTGCTCCCCATAATCTCTTAGAAGAATATAAAAAATGTTGTTTTTCGAGCCAGATCCGAGTGTCGACTTGTCCATCGCTCCAGCTAAGAGCTGTGAGTTATAGATTACAACATAAGAGTCATTAACACAAAGATCTTCTCCGCTACCAGAATATTGCTTTCCTTTTGTTCTCAAATTTGCTTTAATTGGACATTCCTTGTTAGGTCGAAGAATCAATCCAAATATTTGCTTGCCTGTCCACAATGAACAAGGCTTCAATATTACTGGTGGAGGAAGATCAATTTTTATTCTTCGATCACGATATGCAAGTATAGAAGAAATAATTCTTGCAGCCTGAGCTCTTGAAAAAAAGACTTCTTTTCGTGTAAGTAGATAAGCTGCAGTGATGAAATCTTGTATAGCAGCAATGAGAAGTTCACCATTACGAGGCGTGACTAAATTGCTCTTCGTTCCCATCAAAATCAAAGCTTCTGCTTTTGCTTCTTCTGTCTGAGGAAGATGCAGATTCATTTCATCTCCATCAAAGTCAGCATTGTAAGGATTGCATACACATTCATTGAAGCGGAAAGTTCTATGCGGCACAACTTTTGCAAAGTGAGACATGATGCTAAGTTTGTGGAGAGACGGCTGACGATTGAATAAAACTACATCTCCATCCATTAAATGCCTCTCAACAATATCGCCATACCTCAGTTCTGCTGCAATCTTTTGTCTGTTACCATACTTCAAAAATCTTTTCATGTTTGTATGTCTTTGCTGAAGAAAATTTGCTCCTGGATGTTTGTCGCTGCCATTTATAACAAGTTTCCGCATCAATTCAATATTACTTTTAGTCACTCTTTCAGGATAAGTTAAAATTTTTGCGACAAGTTCAGGAACACCAACTTGATCAATCCTCAAATTTGGGTCAGGAGAAATTACAGTTCGACCCGAAAAATCTACACGCTTTCCAGACAAATTACCACGAAATCTTCCCTGTTTGCCCTTGAGACGCTGTACAAAACCACGAGTGGGTTTTTGTGGTTTCATGTTAAATGGAATGCCAGATAACTCACTATTCATATACAAAGCACACTGCAGTTGCAGAAAATCCCAATCCTCCATTATCATTTGAGACTTTGCTCCAGAGGCCCGATGTTTTTCGATAACATTATTTAAGAACAAGATCTCAGTAAGTTTCATTGTTAAATCGTCTTCATTTGTACCTGACTTGAGATCGTTGATGACAGAAGGTCTGATACACAATGGTGGGACAAGAAGTCTAGTTACTATCATATCTTGTGGTCTACCAACATCTCGATTCATCATTAATAATGGGATATCTTCATCTGGAATTTTTTCAAAAAGGTCTTTTACAATCAGTGGGTTCAAATCTTCTTGAGCTCTATTAACAAGATTGTCAAGATCTTTGTTATGTTTCTTTGCTGCTTCAAATGATTGGAAAAATTCTGTGATGCAAGGGTCAATAGACTTTTTAGTTGGGCTCTTATATTTTTCATGCACAATTTTAAGCATCCCACATTTTTTCACTGTACCATTTAGTGCACCACAATACTGACAAAAATGCACTTTTTTGGTTTTCACAATAACTTTTTTGCGAAGAACACGTCGTTGCAAGTAAGTTAAACCAGGTTTTTTTAAAGAATTCAGAAAGTGCATTCTATCAGAATCTTCAAGCATCACATGACTACAGTCTTTACATATCATTTGTAAAATACAAATAGTAGCTCGAAAATATCCAGCATGAAAGCATGGAAGTTCAAGGTCAACAAAACCATAATGCCCAACACAATCTGCCAAACTCTGACCGCATGTTTCACAATTTTTGTCTTTTCTGCTTGTACCCATGCGACGATCTAATACACCATATTCAACTGCAGTGTGGGACTGATCTTGTTGATACAAGTTTTTGCTCACACAATGAATATGTGAATATTTTCGCATCTCATCAGGTGTTTGAATGCTGAAACTGACATCGCTGATTTTCTTCGCCACATCGGCTTCTCGAAACTGTTCTTTAACCATTTTAAATAGTTTCCAAAAATAGATTTATACCTGAAATAATAACAAAGATTTACAACAACCAAGGTCAGCAAAACTTTTATTGAGAAAATGAGGCTCAATGAGCATTAGAATGAAAGTGCGATTCCTCATTATGATCTGATTACTGATTATTTATGACAGAAGTTGCTTTTCTCTGTTCAGCCAGGGAAAATACACAGAGGAATTGCCAATGAGTGGGATAAACATGTGTACCTATATATCTACGGCTCCTAATTAGCCTGAAATTGGAAGTGTGCCGTAGGTATTTTGCTAATCGGTATCGAAGTGAAAGATACAACAATCATTTTGCCAAAGGAAAGCATTGATAATAATACTACACAGGCTCAAAATAATCATACAATAATACAGAAATCGCAAATATATGATAAGTTCTTTTTGAAGAAGACATTGGTTAAAAGGTGTGTCTGCCACTTCGGTACAGGAATCGTTAAACAGCTTTTCGTTACAAATATATTGTGGAGGAAGAAGTAATAACCCTTAAATGAAACACCATACCGTATGATGGAAATGAGTCCAGCAACCCTCCTTTACACAGTCAAACAGGCTGGTCGGTTTGGCGCAACTTGCTATACGTTGAGACGTTAGGAATACACTTCTGCACTTTCAACCGCACCTGTGGTTATCCTGCATAGGTTCGTGTGGGGAGATAAACTCTACCACAATTCGTCTTACCTGTTACAGTGTTAATAGTTAATGAACTAACGATGATTGAATGCAGCGGCGAGTTGTGAACATGGACCCAATTTACTCGTCTTCAAGAACAATAGCGTTATCGGTGATATTGGCCTACTACGGTATATCCGCATGCCTTCCTGTGCATCCGCAAAAATTTCTGAAAGCTCGGGCAACTGAGTCAACTCCAATTCCGAGTCCGACTCCGAACAAGGAAAACTATGACTCCTGTTGACAAATCTAATTTTGACATATTTTAGTGTTCACTACAGCAGAAACATCAAAAACATGCCGTGTTGATGTATTTTATGTTCATTAAACACACTACAAACATCTGAAACATTTGAAAATATTCATTATTATATTTCCCAAACTCAGATTTAAACATTGTTAAGTTTATTTGGAATTGCTGAAATTTACATTGCTGAAACTAAAACCACATGGGGAGTGACTATGTATTATAGTGTTCACTACAACTGATCTGAACATTGCAAAGTCTGTGGTATTACGTACGCTAGCACACACTCATTACCATGTTCAATAAAACATCAAAATTATATTGTGAGATCAAATGGCACCTATGTATAATCAGGTTGACTGCCAGGCGCCAGCACATCAAAACACTATGAAAACAAAGTACTGAAGTAGCGCCGCAGTTATAACTATGCGGCATTCATGCATTATCTGACTATAGTCAGAGATCGTATAAAAAAAAATAGTTATAGTCCTTATTTTAGAAATAATTTAGAAGTTTATTTGAAAATTTGAGTAATTTTAAGCCCCACAGTATCGTATGATTGAAAGTGCATTTATCCAATTATCGAAAACCATGAAAAAAAGGCAACCAACCAAAACTTACACATTTTCTAATTCGAACTGAATATCTAGGCGCTGTCTTTCAAACATCACTCAATTTGATGCATATTTGATTACCATATGCTAAAACAATTTTTACCAAATCTTGGGAATAATGGTTTGCTTGAGGCTTGGCCACCCCACAGTCCCATGAATTCAGTGTTCACTACAATCACATTTCAGCATTTAAACATTGCATAGAACTAATGCTTCATAGCCACAATTACATTCAAGTATTTAACATTATTCTTCGCCAATGCATGTTTCATATGTTCGTTATACAGTTATCAGGTTATATATAGCAGTATACAGGTATAGTAGGTAATCAACATAACAGTGAACAGTCCCGGTTATACGGTACCGGTACGGTGCATTTCTTTGGCACCGGTATTGCACAACAGATTCACGGCACATACAGGCATGCGAGTTTTCGCTACTACCCGCCAACAGCATCCAAATACCAGAACTCTGTTAAAAATTACATCTCGTTCAAGCTTGTACATCAGTAGTAAACACGGATGGATTCACCAATGGTATTAGCCTAACGAGGCACGATTGTGTTGCATAATTTAAGATAATTCAAGTCCGTTTAAATTATGCATGTACGTACGGTACTTCTATAGGATATATTATAGATTTAGTTGGGACTCCTAATTGACTCCGGGCAACCGAGAATATTCCCAACTCCTGATCCGATCCTGTTTGCTGAAAACACTGCCAGACTCCTGTTTTTCGGAGTCCTGAATCCTGTTCGTGCTCAACACTACGGGCTAAGCGTTAGGAATACGCTCGCCACCGCACCTTTAATTACTCTGCATGGGTTCGCAGGTTCGAATCCCAGGCAGGGATGGTTATGTGCGAGAAGATTGCTGGACTCCTCGCCGTCGTTGGGTGGTTCACGTACGGTAACCGCTGGTCGGTTACGGCTTCCTCTACCACCAAGTCCATGCTTCCGAAAACGAACAATATAACTAATCCCCAGTGGCGGCGCGTGGTCATTTTGACAACCGGGGCAAGCTACTGCGGGACCAAGTCACCCTCATCTACGGGGACAGGATGAGCGCTGTAAGTTCTCCCATCATTTTATGAGTATAAAAACCATTCCATCGGTAACAACCAATCGGCAAAAGCGACAATTTTTAACGATAAGAAAGTGTCTTTAAAACCGGTCCAAGTCAAGGGATTGATAAATATAGACATAGTTTATTTTGAAACCTCTTTCAAACGGAAAGGCAATATTTACCCAGATAAATACAATGACATATTAACAGAAACTTCGGGAAAGCAGACAAAACCTAAAATAAGGTTTAAAACGTTACTATGAAGAAAGGAAAGTTAATGCGAAGATAAGGACATGCGTCGCTCACTCATAGATATATAAGCTGCTAGACTTCTACTGCTTGAACATATATGCAACACGCCGCGGTTTTTTGGAAGCAAAATGCTCAATAACGCGCTGATTAAAGTCATGCATCCCAGAAATAACGTCTCTGTGAATGGATAAAACAGCCAAGGAATTTAATCTATCTTGCTTCATTGTGTTTCTGAGATACGTTTTAATACGCTTCAGCGTGCTGAATGTTCGCTCTGCGTCGGCGGAAGAAATAGGCGTCGTCAAAATGATGTCCAGAAATTTTGCAGACGCCGCAAAGGTAGTTACTAGAGTGTTATCTATGAGGAACCCATAGAGCGCGCAAGTTGATGTGATGTTCGAAAAAGTTTGATTGGTGTATATACATCGCAATTCATTTTCCAATTTACCCACGTTTATCATGGGGTAAAATTTGGAGACAGTAGCCAACAAATAGATGGGAAATTGACGTGCAAATTTTGAAAAATTTTTGGGGTTCATCAAAGAGAACGCGGCAAGGTGTTCAGTGCGCAGACGATCGCCTATTTGATTCACCAGAATGTCACAGCATTCCTTTGCAGACAAAATCAAACGCTGCGTTGTTTGCCCGCGGCGTAAAGAAGCACTCCATGTGTCGTCGTATTTTATTGTTTCCCGGATACGAGATACAGCATCGCAGAAGTCTGAAATACACGACTGCACAGACGCTCCATCCATTAGCCTTGACTGCAATTCGCCGTATAATACATCCACGTGATAGAATATTGTGGAGAAAAAAGCGAGAAAAAATGAAAACTTACCATCTTCTAGCAGACGCTTTAGACCTGCCGCCTCCCTCACAGAGCGTTCGTCCCAAACCGGAGAGCTCTGAATGCCATTAAAACACTCAATGAGCTCAGACCTAATTTCGGACACGCCCTGCACCACGCGTGATTGGAAGTTCCGACGTGTTGGTGCACAAGCTGGGAGACGGCGGCTATATATCTGGCGAAGCAGGTCAGAGCGCTTCGGCGAAACGGAAAAAAATGAAGAAAACCCCGAAACATTTGCAAAAAATATACGGACGAGAGGTGGATCAAGATACATATTTTTAATAACGAGGTTAAATTGGTGTGCATAACAATGTAAAAAATGCGCATGAGGAAAATCTTCTTTTATATAAACTTGAACACCATGTTTCGACCCACTCATGACTGCCGCGCCGTCATAAGTTTGAGCTATCAATTTTGACTTCGCGTTGTAAGGCTGTAACACTTCTTTCAGTACAGCCGATATCCCGCAAGCCGTGCGATCAACGATTGGTACAAAGCTGTGAAATCTCTCGGTAGGTTTACCATCTTTCACAAACCGAAAAATCACAGCCAGTTTGGAAACGCACGTGATGTCAGTTGTCTCGTCAGACTGAATCGAAAGGAACTGGCAATTCTCAATTTCCAGAGCCAAATGTTGTAAATAAATTTTATACATTGAGTCGAGCAAATCATTTTGGATATCCTTAGATGTCGCTTTCGAAACAGTTGCGGCATCAAGATGATCTCTCAATACTGTATCTAGGGATGCGGTGTATTCTACCATATCCAAAAATACCCCTCTATTAGAAGAGCCAGCCCGTTCATCATGCCCACGGAGGGACAGCTCGTGACAACCAATGAACTTCAAAACATCTATCAATCGACCGAGAACATGGCGGTTTTTCTCGACGTTTTGGTTGTGCCGACGAATAGAAACCGCGCGTCCTTCATCCAACTGTGCTGCAATATTAACATTTCCGAATGTTCGGTATTTTACTGCATTGTCCAGATGCTCCATAGAAGATTGATGATCCCTGGCACGTTCGGAAAGATGTTTAATATCTCTAAAACCGAATTTACACCAACGTGAGTCACGGGCGGTAGCAAAAAGTAGGCAATAAAAACAAAAAAGTGCATTTTTGTCTTCGCTGTAACACAACCATTCGTGTTTTTTATACCAAGTTTCTGCGCAGAATGTACGCCGACGCTTTCCTCCGTCATGGGATTGTTCCAGTGAACAATTTTTTGGTTGATAAGGCCCAGGACGTTGTACCTCTAATTTTTGTTCCAGCGGCAGCTGCGAAAACGGAGTGCGAAGTAGTGCATCAACCTTATTCATTATGAGGTCTAAGGCTAAGAAATGCGAAGCCGGAAAGAAGTGAGGAGCTCAAAAGGAATGTGGAAAATCGAAAGCAAATGGACTAAAGGTCTCTAACTGATTCAAATAGCGAAACAAGCGACAAAAACGAAGGCGAGGAAACTATCAACTCTTCAAGCAACCAACGAACGAGAAGGAATGCGTGAATATGTCAACACGTTGTTGTAAGAAACGTCGGCATTGTGTCGTCATAATTTCGGGGCTAGCCCCGATCGGCCCCGATGACTTAGCAAAAGAAACAGAAAACAAACGCGGCGAGTGGAAGATAAAAGAGAGAATACGATATACAATGAGCAACCGGGGCAAAATCGGCGTCGCCCCGTCGACGTTCGGCGAAGGCTTTGCGAGCGAAAAATGAACCATGTCGGGAGAATATGGCTAGTGTAGACAGTCTGTGCAACCGATATTGAGGTATTTTTCGAATATTTTTTATTATACCGAAAAAACAACCGGGGCATTGCCCCGGTTGGCCCTATTGACGCGCCGCCACTGCTAATCCCATACTCGACTTGGAATGGTAACCGGACGAGAGGCCGTGGTTCGCCATTGAGATAAGCCGTCTTATCGGCTTTCCTCTCCCCCGGGATAAATATGTAAATACTATCCTATCCCACTTGACATTCTCAACTCCCTACGCCTGCTCGCATATAGCGGTATGTTAGTCGTTGCACATAGCCTAATGCCGGGTCGTTGCGTCACCTTTTTGGTGACAATTAAATTTTAATGCAAAACAGAATTTTCGTATTGAGATTTTAGAATCGAATTATATTTTTCTGATTTTTGTTTCATGTTTTGTTTTTTCAATTTAAAGGCTTGTCTTTGTATCAGATTGGTTCTTATTAGCCTGAGTATTTTAAAAGTTCAACAGCCCGAAAATTTTTGTGTGCTCATTTCTGGCCCAAGCCATGTTTAACAAGTTTTGTGTTTTTTTTTTGTAAGTGCGTGTTGATGAGCGGGCACATGATACTCATCATGTTTTAAACTTTTTTAAAAGTTTTGCTCGCTCTCTAGAATTCTTCATTTTCAATTTGGTTGTATTGCGGAGTTTTAAAAAAAAAACTATCCATCTACCTACCTTAGGTAGATGGATAGGTATTTATATTTGGTTATTACGTATTTTCTCATTTCAGATTGCGTTAAAAGTCCGCTTTTATCAGAAGCGTGTGACAAGCAGGACAATTGTGAGATAAGCAAAGCGTAAGTCCAAATAAAGTGCCTGACCATTCCTTAGAAAACGGGTAGGCCTATGTAAAATTGGAATGGCAGATATCCTGCAGGTATAGCAGTGCAACGAATATTTCATTAGAGCTTTGCTAAATTTACTATTATTTTATTATTACTTTTTTTATTTCTAAATTTCGTATAAAATCTGATATTTCGTCCAAGATTTCGCTGTATTATTTTATCCATGGGAACACTGGATGTCTGGTTTGATTATTGCTACGCTAAACTCGGAATTTTTTTAAGGGTATCGGTAGCGTCAAGGGTAAGAACTGCTTAGCTCTGTGTAACGTGTCCATATATTTGAGCATTTCTTTGTTGTAATTGTAAATGCAATTTTAATTTCATATTTTTGCACTGAGTAATTGTAATGTAATTAAAAAATTTATGGGAGTAATAGCAATGGTAATTGTAATTGAACTGAACCGTCATACGTTAAAATACAAAATGAGAACCACATCCCGTATCCGTCTTTGATCCGTCCGTGTAAATCAACAAGAGAGCTATGCTCAAATATATGTCCAAGCTGTAACAATATGGAGAGTATTTCTTGTCGTAAATTATGTTATTATAGGATAACATATTTGATCCTGGCCAGGCGCTGTGCTTTTACACGAATAGAGCACATTTTTTAATTTGTGCATAGAAAACGGAACATTCAGTAAGTTCTTATAGTCTAGGACAGGTTCAAAATTATCACTTGATATATACCAATCTCAAAGTTTCGTTTTCTATCCAAAAACTGATTATTATAATTTTCAGTACTGCTTACTGTTTGAAATGTAGACCCCAGTAGATTTGCCTTGTCATAATCACCTGTGACAGAAGCACCATCTTGATCCGTAAGTCTAGGAATATTGTAATTGAAGAATTTGTAAATCCGTGTACCATTTTCCAAAGTTTCGAAAACTGGGTTGGCGAGCTAATCGAGTCGCAGAATCCTCGCCATTTTCATATACGCGGTTTTCCGAGTCGAATAGCCTTTGTGCAGTCCTTTGTCCACCATGGTACTGACCTTTCATAATTAGAACTTTAGGTCTAGGAATTGATTTGTTGACCGTGTGAATGAGTTTAGATGTAAAACTATTGTTGAAGCTATCGATGTATAATGTATTGGTGATACGAAGAACTAGGGTTGCCAACTATGGAAAGTCTCAGTAAAGGACATAGATTACCGTCATCATTTATTTCGTAACTTGCAGGAAAGAACAATATAAAACAATAAAATACAAATTATATACAAGCTAAAAAGATATATTAAAAATCTCCATGTGTTTTTCATTTAATGTTCATTTAACATTGGCCCAATCAAGCTCTAATTTTGCAGTTGCTTAAGTTTATAATTCTTAAAGTTTTATTTGTTCCGACTCTTTGATGACTTCAGCAATTGTGGGTCACGTTTTGTTTTTTCCGAAAATTCACGACACGTGTCTTTCAAGTTGAAGCATATTGAAAGCTCACTTTTCATTAGTTGTATGGAGCATCTGTTCCTTTCACTGCGCCATTTAGCTGACATTACACTAAAAATGCGTTCACAATAAGCTGAGGTTCCGGGGATAGAGAGCACAAATGGAACTATTTTGAAAACATTAACACACTTGAGATCGGCATTTACTGCTTGTTGTTTTGCATTCTTGTTTTGCAGTTGCTTAAGTTTATAATTCTCAAAGTTATATTATTTCTGACTCTTTGCTGACTTCAGCAATTGTGGGTCACGTTTTGTTTTTTCCGAAAATTCACGACACGCGTCTTTCAAGTTGGAGTATATTGAAATGCTCTACAATTTTTACAAGTGTCTGATATTTTGGAGAAAGATTATCCAAAAGAGATAATTTTGATAATTTTCCAAATGTTGAATTTTCATTAAATCAAAGCTTTTTTCTAAATACGTTATTGCAGAGTTGAGAAATAATTTAAAATCTTCAGTTGCCTCTCGAGCTTCAGCAGCACTCACATTTGCAAGAAGTTGGTGAAGATTTTAACCTATTTCTTAATTTAGTAAGAATAATGAAAACATATGCTGTTGAAGTTTCATTTTTTTTTCAGTTCTTGAACAGCTAATTTAAATATCTCCATTACATGTTGTGAGAATATCAAATACATTTCAAAAAGCTGAGGAACTTCTGTTGACTCATTGTCAATCATAAGAAGTTTAAGTAATTGTTTGGAACATTCAGCTGGTCTGCTCAAGAAATAAGAACTTAGGGCTTCCCAAGAAAGTAAGATTCTTTCGATGCATGGGTGCAGAGATAGCCACCCAGTAGTACATGACGCAGAATTTCATGAAATTCCGTCTCTACAAATATATGAATGTCTATAAGAGTTTCTCGTTTTTTTCCCTTCAATTTCCACCTGCAACATATTAACTGGGTCATGCACGTTAGGAAGTCAAACTTTAATTTGGAAACACCACCCTTTAATTGATTGCCCTCAATACCAAACAACTGTTACTGAACTTATTTTACATTATAATTCTTCTAATCAGATTTACCGCTTAGATTTTCCAAACTCTTGAAACAAGGTATTATCTCACCATCTACAAGTGAGTGGGGTAGCCCTATTACGGTTGTTTTGAAGAAAAATGGAGACATTCATAAAACTGACTCATACAGAATTTGTGGAAATTATAAAAACCTCAATATACAAACAAAAAAGGACACATACCCAATACCAAACATCCAGTCCTTCACTAATGAAATCCATGGATCGGAAATTTTTACGAAGGTTGACTTGCGATCTGCTTATCATCAAGTTCCGATGAAATCCGAAGACATGGACAAAACAACGGTAGTTACACCTTTTGGCGCATTTCGATATCACGTGACTCCATATGGCACTAAAAATTCAGGTTCAACATTTCAAAGACTCATCGACCATGGTAATCCGCAATATTCCGAATGTTTTTGCTTATGTCGATGATATTTTGGTATTTTCCAAATCTCCGGAAGAACACGAAGAGCATCTCAGACAACTTTTTCAAAGATTACCACGACTACGGTCTAATAATTAATTTCGACAAATGTCTGTTTGGAGTACCTGAATTTAACATTTCTTGGATATCATGTGAATAATAAAGGAATACGGCCTATCAAATCGAAGGTAAATGCTTTACGGAACTACCCTCGTCCGAAAACCAAACGACAGCTACGTGCTTACTTGGGAATGTACACTTTCTACCAAAAATGTTTACCTCATTGTGCTAACATATTGGCTCCACTTCATAAAATGTGCTCTCATTACTCGAACAAGTATCAGAAAATTACTTGACCAAAGAACATGACGAAGCTTTTGAAAAATCGAAAAATGCATTGAGTGATTTTGCATTATTAAACCACCCAGACCCAGAAGCAGAAATATCTCTTGCGGTGGACGCTTCAGGAGATTCGATTGGAAGTGTATTACAACAAAAGAGACATAATCAATGGGAACCATTAGGATTTTTCTCAAAATCGTTAAACCCAGCCCAACGGAAATATTCTACTTTTGATCGGGAATAGGCTTGCACGTAATTGACAAAAATCAATTCCGTAATTACGGCAAAATCAATTACGTAATGACCCCGTAATTGCGATATTTTTCCACGCATTTAAACCTATCATAACAACCAATTGAATCCACCTTCTTTTCCGAATGGGCATTGGAGTTGGGTTTTCATATTCTTGGCAGTACTACACGCCATCGGCAGATGTTAAAGACAAATATCAAGGAGTGAATTCAAATTAATTTTATTCTGATTTTTATTCTTTTGTGTTAGCTTTGATTTCCTTTATCACCTTCGCAAATTAACCGTCCCATTTTTTATGCGATCAATTTTATTTTATCATTACCGACACTGGTATACGGTTATTTATGGAAACGATAGTTTTTTAAAACCACCTTTAGTACTGAATAAAAATTAAGGGTTTCTAATTTATTAAACCAACGGACCGAGCGTATTCCACTCATTTGATTATACTTGGCGATTTCCCGCGACGAAGACTTGTTTTTGCAGCGTCTTCTGCATTATCCGAACTATTACTGCCTTGTTAGCATTTTTATAATAATAATATTGATGTCGACTTAATTGGACGATATTCCGATTACCCATGCTTCCATTTTACATTAATCATTTCGCGGACTGAATGTTTTAAAACATTATTTGCGATAAATTTAGATTAAATATTATTTATTTGAGTATAATTTAAATATCGAAACTTATATGCATATGCCTTCTCCGAAAAATACAAAAGTTATATCGCAAACAATGCATTTTGTGACATTTATTTTACACTCACGACATTTATTTGCTAACTCAAATCGGCGATCCTATCGGCCAAGATTGACACAAGTTTGGTCGAGTGCGGTGGTATTCAAGTAGAGTAGACGATAAATCAAAAATAAGTTGCCGGCATTTGGTAAGACAGTTAATCATATATGGCCGAAATATTGAGAGGAATTGTGAAAAACATCATGCGCAAGGCCAAGTCCGGACTGATATATAACGGATAAAACCGTTAACAGAACATCAAGATTTTGTAATAGAAAATGGATCTCGCACCAGAAATAAACACACTGGCTCATATTTGATTATATATGATAGCAGTTAAGATTTTTTTGCGATCCGCGAGGAATCCGTCGTTTTGCTGTTTCTCTGCCGTCTCAATCGCTTTACCGAAGCCGAGAAGACGAAGTTGCGTTGGTTCATTACGCAATCTCTCTTTTGTCGTCATATTGCTATTTGATAAGCGCGACATTAATTATCACGGCGAGGTATTGGCGCGAGTGATCAATCGCTCTTTTGGCTTATTTGGTTCCAATTCGTCGCGAAAGCTCTTCGTTAAATTTCACAAATCGTTCGTGTTGAAAGGTTATGGATATTTCCTGTTTATACCCCAAGTCTGAAATAAAACAGCCAAAAACAGTATGATATTTCCATGTTCATATATCAAGTGTTGATATTAACATTAAAGAATGGTTAAGCATTGCTAATCTACACTTGGTGGGGAATTCCCACTATTTAAACGCGTGACTATAAAAATAAAATGAAATAGAAACGGAACATATATACCATAAGTAACGGAAAACTGGAACAAGTAAATAATAAATAAAAGTAAAATGGATACAAATGTTTGATAGACCATGTTTGAAAGATTGATCTCCTGCGTTCATTAGTCATTTCACCCGAAGAAGTTGAAACCGGGCGTGTTAGCGTCCATCGTCTTAACACAATTCTTCCCCCTATCTACGGTTATTATGTACATTGGCCATGGCCATGCTAGATAAGATGCGAGAGAAGTTGAAACCAGGTGTGTTGGGCGTCAATCGGTGTTAACGCAATTCTATCCTTATCTACGGTTAAGTTACGGGAGAAGTTAAACCAGGTGTGTTGGCGTCAATCGGTCTCACGCAATTCTATCCCTTATCTACGGTTAAGTTACGGGAGAAGTTAAAACCAGGTGTGTTGGCGTCAAACGGCCCTACTCAGTTCTTCCCCCTTAACTACGTTAATAATTTACATTGGCCATGCCAGAGAAGTTAATAATAGGTTCGCGTCTTGCCCTCCTTCACCTACGTAACAAGAGAGAGAAAAACGGCTGCGAATACCGGAACTCTAACTTCTACTTGTTGAGCTTTCATTTTTCGCAATCGACGAAATTGACTGCTTTGAAGAAAGCTCGTTTCAATGCAATAATTACGACTTTACGGAATTCGTAACTTCCCTTCCGTAACTCAAAATAATTACGTAATTCCGTAAATCCGTAAATTACGTGCAAGCCTAATCGGGAACTACTGGCTGCTTATCTGAGTGTCAAACATTTTCGATATGATTTGGAAGGACGTTCGTTTTTCATCCTCTCTGACCATAAACCATTGACGTATGCCCTACACAAAAGTGCTGAAAGATCATCTCCACGACAAGTTCGTCATCTCGATTTTATAAGTCAATACACAAATGACATGAGATATATTGCTGGAAGCAGTAATGTGGTAGCCGATGCTTTGTCTAGAGCGACAATTGCCGCATTCTCACACTTGCCTACAACTCTAACCTTGTCTGACATCGCTTTGGAACAACGTAAGGATCCGGACATTCAAAACCTGTACAATGAACCTAAAAGCATGGAATTACCGATTTGTGAAACTTAGTGACGATTTACATCTACTATGCGATTCAAAACTATCAACACTACGCCCAGTTATTCCGAAGAAATTTCGAAAACGTATATTCGATACGAATCATCAATTAAGTCACCCTGGAATTGAGCAACTCAAGATCTCATTCAAGCAAGATATATTTGGCCAAACATGAACATTGACATCAGGAAAATGTGCCGAGCGTGTATTCCATGCCAATCATGTAAAATTCAAAGGCACACGATCTCACCTTTGCAAACTATCGTAACTCCAGACGAAAGATTCTACCATATCAACATTGACATTGCTGGACCTTTACCACCATCTAACGGATATAATTACATACTTCTCATTGTGGACAAATTTTCGAGATGGGTGGAAGCTATTCCTATCAAAGACATAACATCTGAAACGGTAGTTAAACATTTTTCTGTTCTGGATTTCTAAATATGGCGTACCTGCAATCATCACCAGTGACCGTGGAGGTTGCTTTCAAAGTGTTCTATGGCAAGAAGCAATGCAATTTCTCGGTTCTCAACACATTTCAACTACTAGCAGTCACATCTTTCTACGTGTTGACGCAGTTAGAAGACCACTGGTACCACCTTATCAAGGACCTTTTCGTGTTATACAAAAATACGACAAGTTTTTTAAGATTGATTTTAAAGGCAAACCTACCACTGTTTCTATTGATAAAGTTAAGCCGGCTCATGAAGAAATTTTCACTCCCGATACTCAGGACATTTCTAATTCAAATACCCCAACTCTTGAATCTGACGTACTAATACACAGATATAACGTACCAATATCAACCGATATTGACGACTCTTTACTTATTACGCAGAACGAGGAAACTAATAGCAATCAACAAGGTTCAGGATCAATACAATCAAGGACTCGACACGGAAGGACAACTAGACCGCCACAGAGAGACGATTATGTTTACTATTAAGTACCTCGCAATCTGTATGTATCTTTTTGTTTATTCGTCTAGTCTGCCATTTAAATCTGCTTTACCAACTCCAACAGTTACAGTAAACCTATGCCACCCCAATAGACCCAAAGCTGAATACTTTATTCAGAAGCCCATTAATTGTACTAAGGAGACACCCCAAATCATTAAGCAATGCTCTGTTACGGTACATGAATTATCTTCTAGCTATACAAATATTACTTTATATGTATGTCAGAAATCTGCTACTAAATGGTCCTAGTCATTATTTTTTCTTTGGTGCACATTCGAGTAAACTGACTTCTACCATGATAGAACCACCCACCCCTTTATATTGTGAAGATTGGGTACACACGTTAAAAGCTGATAATATTTGGAGATCCCGACCTTTGGACTGCCTTCTGACGCAGATCAATCACGGAGCAGACAACAATCCTACGGAGCCAGCCTACGGAGAGGAACTCGATAAGATAAGTTTCACGTTTAATTTACATCCTATAAGTCGCAACTAAGGGTGCCTATTGCTAATCATACAATTCTCTATCTTCCAACAGGCCTATCGCAAAAACTCGAGGAACCGTGCAACAAAACCAAACAAAGGATCAAACTCATCCATACAGTGAACGAAAAGGACATTTCACATCGCCCAAGCAATATTGACTGTCTGACCTCGGAATTGAGTATAATTCCTCAGCCGAATTTTGGTACGTACATCATTTCGACTAACTTTATGACGTCAAGAATATTTCCATTCGATATCTTTTCGAAAAAGTCTAAGGAAACCCCAAGAGTAGCTCTTCCTTTAAAAAGTCACATTCTGGAAAAATTCAACTCATATCGTCCAAATTAAAAGCGAGTATGTCTCTTGATGATCAAACTAAGAAAAGGTCATTCTAGCACTCTTCGGGAAATTTTGATTTATTTAGCGATACTCATACTCCACCTTCCCGGCATTACGACAATATGTCTCTCGAGATCCTTTTAAAATACCACCATTTTGGATTGATTCCCCCGCAATTATGGTTTAGATGCGTTGAGAGCGCATTTTCACGAGCAGGCATACTTACTGAAACCAAAAAATTTGATGAAGTTTTGGCTGTTTTAGATAACTCAGTTATCGATAGAATTGGCTTGGATTTACTAGAGATACATGGACTTAGACCATATGCTCAGCTTAAGGAAGCTTTGTTGACAAATTTGCACCCACGGAAGATCAGAGATTGACTGCATTTTTTGCACACTTCCGAACTAGGAGATCAAATGCCCTCTGAAATGCTAAAACGTTTGAAATTTTTATATCGGAACCTGAACGTTTGGCAGGAAACTCTTGCTAACAGCCTGCTCAAGAAGTTATTTTTAGAAAAGTTACCGTCATCTATCAGAAATATTTTGGCGTCAAACTACGACA